CCGTGGTCGACCTCGGTACCACCCCTCTCTTCCTGGGGCATGATTGGCTGCAAAGGCACAACCTGCTCATTGACTGGAACACCAGGGCGGTCACATTGGCATGCTGCACATGTAGGAAGATTCCATTTTCCCTGCCCGATACGGATCCCTCGGCGCGCTGGGAGGAGTACGAGGAGGGAGATACTATCCTAGTGATTGACTTCGAAGAAGCCTTTCATGTGCAAGCCATGGGGACTAAAGCTAACGAGCTAGCCGCCCAGGCCAATGCCAAGAAGATGGTCAAAACTTTCGAGGAAATCATACCGGGAGAATATCGAGAGTTTAAAGATGTGTTCGACAAGGAGAATTTTGACGAGTTACCGCCGTGCAAACCCTGGGATCATGCCATTGAGCTGGTCCCCAATGCCAATGCCAATCTGGACTGCAAGGTCTACCCTCTCAACCTGGCCGAACAGGAGGAATTGGACAAGTTTTTGGATGAGAATCTCTCCACCGGTCGTATTCAAGCCTCAAAGTCTCCCATGGCGTCGCCTTTCTTCTTTGTTAAGAAAAAAGATGGGAAACTACGCCCGGTGCAGGACTACCGGAAACTTAACGAGATGACCATCAAAAACCGATATCCGCTCCCGCTCATTGGAGAGCTCATGGACCAGCTGAAGAAGGCCAAATACTTCACTAAGCTGGATGTACGGTGGGGGTACAACAATGTTCGGATTAAACAGGGTGATGAGTGGAAAGCTGCGTTTAGAACCAATCAAGGACTTTACGAACCATTAGTAATGTTCTTTGGACTCACCAACTCCCCCGCCACTTTCCAGTGGATGATGAATGACATCTTCAAAGACCTCATCATGGCCGGAGAAGTATCCGTGTATTTGGACGACATCCTTATCGCTTTGCAAGACAAGCAGGACCATCGACGTATCGTACGGAAGGTGTTGAGAATCCTACGAGACAACAAGTTGTTCCTAAAGGCCGAGAAGTGTGAATTCGAGGTTGAAGAGACGGAGTACCTGGGGGTACTCATCAGCGAAGGGAAAATCCGAATGGATCCAGTAAAGATTGCGGGTCTTCTGGACTGGCCGATACCATCCAAAAAACAGGAGCTGCAATCTTTCCTCGGTTTCTGCAATTTCTACCGATGGTTCATCTGAGATTATAGTAAACACGTTAAACCCCTTACCATCTTGACGGGAAAAGCGGAGTGGAAGTGGGGGGAGCCCCAACAGAAAGTGTTCGCCAGACTGAAGGAATTATTCCGCGAAGATGTGGTCTTGGCTATCCCCTTGGATCAAGGAAGATTCAGAGTAGAGGCGGACTCTAGCGAAGGAGCAGTCGGGGCCGTGTTATCGCAATGGCAAGACGAAAAATGGCGACCGGTAGCCTTTTTGTCCAAGGCCCTCACTACCACCGAGCGAAACTATGAAATCTACGACAAAGAACTCTTGGCCATCATGATCGCCCTTGACGACAATATCTGATGGGAGCTCACGAGGACTTTGAGATTTGGACAGATCACTCCAATCTCCAGTACTTCCACAAACCTCAAAAGTTGAACCGAAGACAAGCCCGGTGGGTGACGGAACTGGCAGAATATCAATTCACACTGCACCACAAGCCGGGGGCCCAAAATCATAAGGCGGACTTATTGTCCCGGAGGGCGGACCACGACCAAGGGAAGGGAGACAATAAGGACATAGTCGTCCTAAAAGCCGAGCACTTCAGGGCCCTGATTATGCCCACACCAGAGGAGCTACACGAGAAGATCAAACTCGCTACCCACGACCCTCGTAAGTGGGACCGGGGCATCTCGGATTCTCTTAATCACGAAAAGGGAGTCTCCCGTGATCAGGGGCTGCTTTGGTATGACGGACGCATCTACGTCCCGATGGATCGGAACCTTAGAGGGGAGATTATAGCCCTGCAACATGACCATGTAACCGCCAGACACCCTGGGGTGGAAAAGACCAAAGAACTCGTACTACGAGATTACTGGTGGCCTCAGATGCGACGAGAGGTAGAAGCGTACGTTAAAGGGTGCGAGGTGTGCCAGCGAACCAAGGCCGACCAACAACCAAAGAAGGCGCCTCTTCACCCTAACGAAGTACCGAACCGACCCTGGACTCATATCTCAGTCGACATGATCACCAAGCTGCCGGGTTCAAAAGGGTTCGATTCGATCCTAGTTATTGTCGATTGGTTTTCAAAGACCATCATTCCCATCGCCTGCACCGAGGAGCTCACATCCCTCACCTTCGCTAAAATCCTTCGAGACCAGATTTACGTGCCATACGGAGTAATGCCCGAAAAGGTTATCTCGGACAGGGGTGCTATCTTTGTATCCAAATTCATGAAGGAGTTCTACGCCCTCATCCAAGCAACCGGGAACCCCTCTACCGCTTATCATCCACAGACCGACGGGCAAACCGAACGGGTTAACCAGGAAATTGAAAAATACCTCAAAATGTTTGTGAATTACCGACAAGATGACTGGAGCGACTGGCTACCTTTAGCCGCCTTCACTCATAATAATCACAAACATTCGGCAATGGGTTTTTCCCCCTACAAGGTCGTCTTCGGGAGAGACGGGCAGGTCATCAAGACAGCCCAGCACCCTGACAGTGTTCCGGCCGCGTCGAAGTTGGTTCAAGGCATTAAAGAGGTGCAGGAGAAAACTAAAGAATCCCTGGAGCGAGTGGCTGAATCAATGAAGAAAGCCTATGACAAGCATAAGGGGGAGGCAGTCCAGTACCAAGTAGGTGATAAGGTGTGGTTAGACTCTACCCACCTAAGCCTACCGTGACCCACCAAGAAACTCGGCGATCGTCGAGTTGGACCCTTCACTATCATGGCAAAAAAGGGGACCTCTGCCTACGAACTTAAACTCCCAGTGGGCTGGAAGATTCATAATCGTTTCAACGAATCCCTTCTGATGCCCTACCACGCTCCCGAGTTTCCAAACCAACCCCGACCAGAGAGACCACCTCCCGAACTCATTGATGACAAAGAAGAATATGAGATTGAGGAGATAGTGGCCGAAACGAGACAAGATCGTTGGCCGCGGACGCACCTGTCACACCGTTACGGAATACCTAGTAAAATGGAAAGGATACCCAATGGAGGAGAACTCTTGGGTAAAACGCTCGGATATGGCTAACGCGGAAGAACTAGTAAACGACTACGAAAGTCAGATCCAGAGAGTTGTATGGGAGGTGGATAACAAGGGAAGAACCGTGGGGAGAGACAGTAAAATTCCCCCTAACAACCTGGCAAGGTATCACAACCCGGACACCCCCTGCATAACCGACATCGAAACCGTTTACTCGTCCCAATGCTCAGCCGCAGCCCACTCTGAAGAAATCAACGTGGTAGGAGAGGCAGCGGCGTCAGACGCAGGACGGGGACTTGGCCCAGTCTCCGTCACGGCATTGTTCCAACGATTAGTAACAGATATCTCCGAATCCATGGATAGAGCCCTTCAAGAAGAAAATGCCAAATACATGAGAGATCACCCAGAGGAGAACCATGAACCACCTCGACTTCCTCGACCAGAGTGGCACGAAGACCCTAGATTGGACGACCCACGAGTATGGGATTCATACTTAAAATGCCGCAAAATAGAAATTGAAGCGTCACGACGGGAACGACGTCCTTACGTCAATCCCCCCATCCTATTTGACCCCCCGACAGACAACGACTCGGACGTCGGTCTACTTCAACGAGTAACCAAAAATTGGGATGATGACCGCCTTTCTGACGTAGGATCATTCGAATCCATTTGGGACGAACGAGTCTTAGAGAGGGGGTAATGTTACGATTTATTTATTTCTTTTCTTTTCTTCGTCTTACTCAGCCTGATTATGCGTATGCGATCCCTACGGATCATTTCTCACAGTACTATTATTAGCGTACTCACTTGTATTTAAGTAGAGCCTCAGCTGGATTAACCCCCAGCTTCGGCTAAGGTTTAATTTACCTAACTCAAAGCTCCTCGCTCCATGACTATTTGTCCCCGTCGCTTGCTCATCCCACAAGACTTTGACCTCTATTGTATCGTCCACCAAAGTGCGAGTGGCGATCCCTAGTTGATCTAAGTTTTGAGAGTTAGTGGCTAACAAGAAGCTCGACCCAAAGATTGACTACTACATCGTAGGCTTTATTATGCAGAAGTACGTCTTTGTTTTCAGTCTCTATAAATTGATCTGATGGTTTTCAAGGTGTGATGATGTCGACATGCATGGCACAAGCAAAGGGCCGACAGATGTGCAGAGGAGCTACTCGTATGCTCAAAAGCTTAGGGCAGGCACCACCTATGGCTTTCATAGGGCTGGTGGTCAAGGCAAGGTACCTTGGGACAGGGCTATGGCATCAGGAAATCCCTCAATCTCGGATCTTGTATCCTCATACATGCTTGGACTTCACAAATGCAAGGTACGTTAGAATTCATGCATACTCTAACATGTATATTGATTAGATGTACAGGTTGCCAAAGGAGAAACTGCAACTAGTGCTCAAGCTATTGGTCCTGTATGTCATGTCTATTAATCACCCCCATAGTGTAAAAAGTTGCCAGCTAACTTGAAGAGGCACTGAATATTATCATGATTATTTTCATTATCAAAACTTACGAGATCTTTTGCTTTCTAGGATACTCTGAAGCAGCTCTACATGCATAACCACAAACCTGAAAACTGGGATAATACTCAGATATATCCAGGAAATTAGTGTGGAGGGACCACACAATGACTGCTCCAGGCCATATACCTCATTGCATTTACATGCTTACTCTGCATTGATGAGGTTTTGAACATTCAAGTTCATGAGGTTGATGTTGACAATGATGATGTTGACGGTACGTTTCATGTGAAGATCACTCTTCCCTTTCATAAAAATAGCCCATTTGGCAGTAAGTGCATTGAGCTTTTACTTTGTTATTACCTGTTGACTTATTTTGGATAATAGACATACCTCTGTTTGTATTGCATGCCCTGCCAGAACATATGGCACATCTTTGCCCTGCCCGAGCTATTGCCACATGGATTGGCACCTCAAAGATCACACATGGATACCTTTTCCCTCATATTGATAAATGTGACTGCCCCATCACTATGAAGAATACTGCGATGGTAAAGTATCATGTTCCCTAGTATGGAGTAGCATGCACTCATCTAGAACATTGTCAGAAACCCGACGTGTTTTTGGAGCTTTTTCGAAATAACTTGTGGGACTTGGGTATTAGCCCATATGTCTATGGTACGCATTCATTTCAATGTGGAGGTTGTCAGTGGTTGTCATGCGACCTTCGTTGGTCAATTCGGCAAATCTGTGAATGGGGAGGATGGAGCTCAGACTTTACACACTTGACAATTGTCAAGTATCTTATCTCATCAAATGACAACCCAATGCTTCGTTGTGAGGACTTTTTCAGACTTGATTGCCAAGTAGCCAAGTGCTGGACCTGTGGATGAACATGCTCATGTGCTTAATCTTGATGTTATAGTTTTCATGACATGAATAATAAGGACATTTACTATTGGTTTTCATGCTGTAAATAAGCAGGACATTAGCTATTTCAAAGGTACGACATGAGGTGTTAAACTAATTATCTTCGCCACAACTTATCCCCCTCTTCTGCTTATACAATTTCATGATGGATGGAAGGTCTGTCATGGGAACCACCATCTGATCTCTGTGGTAGCTGAAGTGATTGATAAACTCATTACCATACCATTGTTGCGCTTCCTTCAATAATATCTTGTTAGCCTGCTTTCATTCATTCATCAGAAGGTCCGAGATTCAAGAAAATGGCAACTTTTGTCCTCGAGAGTCAGAGATCTTCATCCAAAAGGCTTCGGGTGTGCCACTGGCATTGTACGCTTCAATGAAATACTAAAGGTTGGAGATGAAAAAGAGAACTTGGAAAGAAAGCTGAGCAGAACATACCCTCCATTTACTCCAAACATTCTTCAGCTTCTGCCATTCACTCCCAGTTTGCTTGTTGTACTTGTAGAGATCCTTCCAGTATTTGATTGGAATCGAGCAACCGTTAATGATGATTGGATGATTGGGAGGTGGGGCCCAGTCTGGACTATGATCATCCCAGCTTCGAATGAGATTTGGGATATCTGAGGCATAATGGAAAGGCTTCATCGGGGGGACATCACCTTGGCGAACAATTAACATCTCACCATCAGCGAAGACTAACGAGCATTGAATTTGGCTGCCAGCATGATCATCAGATAATATGGATGCATCCCCATCAAGTTCAGATGTAGATGCTGGCATTGTCTGAGGTGGCAGAGAAGGCAATACAAAGGGTAAAGGTGCCTGTGTAGGCTTGAACAATGGTATGGTAGGTGAATCTGGTCAGTCCACTTCACCAGAAAAGGTCTCAGTAGAATCTTCAGTGAGCCTTGGCATTGTGTCAAAATCCATGGGAGGACAGGAAATATTGGACAAAGTGGAGGACAAGGACAAGGCATCAGCAGAGGAATTTTGACAAGCAGCCAGTTGCTCCATGACAATAGAGATGACATGCTGGGTGAAACCTGTATTCTCGAAAGGATCCTGTACCTTGGAGAAGGTTGTTAGATGGAATTGACAGTGAAAGCAAAGATATGTATGATAGGCTGTGGACTATGAGTGTCAATGCTACTGGCCCCTCACTCCTTCAAATGAGTGTGGCTGAGATTCTGCTGACACTTTTCCTCTTCCGCTATCAGGACCATAAAATCCTCAGCCTGAGAGCCTGTGGTCAACCAACTGTGCATGAGAAAGAACAGAAATGGACTCACCCATGGTATGAGTTTGTCCACCTTCATCTGGCTGCACATATCCTTAGATCTTTCCACAGGAAAGGGCACTCCCTGAGATGTGCTTGTTGACATGCTTGCTTCATGGATGCGGTGTGCCCGTTGCATCAATTTTCTCTTCTTGATGATGCCACCACTCCTCACATCCTTATGAGAGATATGCCCTGGAGTAAGCAGGCTGTGAAATGGAATGAGTGGGTGTCTATACAGTATGAATGGAATGAATATATGCAGATCTCCACTTTTCCTTCCCGGCTTCACTGAACTCCACAAGCCATTCTTGCCGCAATGTTTTGTTACCAGATTGTGAGAGCCTGTAATGCCTGCAAAGATCAACAAACCATACATTCAAGTGCATCAGAGATCTGGAATAGTGTTCAGTCAACAAAGCCAAATCCAGGAGAATGGTGATCAACGTACAAGTCAATTTCCTCGGTTTTGAAATTGCCATTCTCATCGAGCATATCAGGGCCATCCATGCAGGGGAAAACATATTTTGTCATGGTCAGAGGTAGTGGCACCACAGTTGGGGGTACTGGAAACAAGTCCATGATGCGTCCGAGTGAGTTGGTGGATGCACGTCACTGCTGTTGAAGAAAGTGCATCCTCTTCCTGACAAGCATGACAAAAAAAAGAATGACAAGGGCCATGATGCCAACAAGAGACCCTGCTAGACAGGCAGCAAGATGGAGCCCATGATTAGTGATGCTGCCACTATCCCTAGCAAAGTGTCTAGGTTTAGTCAGGTAGTCAGGGTGGGGATAGGAATGGGAGACGATAGGGGGAAAGAACAGAAAGCAAGCAGGGGGCACTAAAATGTGAGAAAGAAAACAAACAAGAAACCAATGGGAGAACGAAACCAGTGCTCCTCACTGAGAGGAGAACACCAGCATATGGGCATCAGTAGCCCATATGTGGGAGGAGGGAGGGAGGTCTCAGCTCAGACATCAAGAGTCTGAGCTGAGCCCACCTGCTTGCTCCAATCCCAGATCGTACACCCAAATTGCCAAGTGAGCGAGACAAAGATGCTCGATGCACCCCTGCGGAGGCAGTGGGAGGAGGAGCCAAACAGACCATCAAGACGGTCGCAGGAATGAGAACCATCTCTGTGGCTATGCTGGACCCTTGATCCTGGCACTTGCCATGTGATGAGACTGTCATGATCCAGAGAGAAGGCATAATATACTTGTTTCTCAGCTTCCACTGGCCCTTCATTAAACACTCCACTTCTCCCCACATCACAAATATGCTATCTGTGAGTCTTTCGATACCCTTAAACCAGTCCTCTGGCGCTTCCAAAGGATCAATTAATTGGATGTCTGCATCAGGGATGTCTTTCAAGAGCACTTGACATGCGTGCCGCCCATAGAAAGAACTCAAACTGTCGTACTTGTGCTTCGCTTCAAGCAGGTGCTGGGGTAGCTCCCGGTCTTCCTTCATGGACACCCAGGGAGACATGAGGAATATGCCACAGAAGCGCATCTCTGGGATTGGTTCGATGGATGCGTGATGATGGAGGATGTGGGCAAGCATTTGGAGGACAAGGTTCCCACCGGCAGATGCTCCTGTGAGTGTGATATTTTTGGGCTTCGCCCCTGCTTTGAAGAGCGTATCAAACGTGGCTTTATCTTTGCATAATTGGGTTGGGAAAGGGTTATCTGGGAGGAGTTCTGGTATAAAGCAATGAATAAAGGGGGAACAGGGATTACAGAGAAGAAATGGACTTACTGTAAGCTAGAATTGCAATGCCGACATGGATATTGCGTTGCTCAAGCTCTACCTGGAGGTATTGGCAAAATGTCATGATATTTTCGGAGCAGCTCATCATGTAAGCTCCTCCTAAACAGATTCGAAGTTAGGAATTAAGGAAAACAGATTTTCAGGGTGAGGACACACCATGACAATACAAAATGACTTGATCCCACCGTTTCAGACCAATCCATAATAGATGTGCACCATCCAGCAATTCATCAATCACTGCTGGCATATTACTCGATTCTGTCCACTGCAGGTAGTTCTGGAGGGATGAAGGAATGTTTGACTTAAAGTCAGAATGGTTGATTGTGAATTGGAAGGCAGCCACCATGCATATGGTTCACCATGAATTGGATCACTCGTGGGTGAAGAATGAGAATACAAGCTGTTTGAGGACATACAGTGCTATGACCCAATGAGTTAGTCAGAGTAGCATGATAGTGATAAATTTATGTACTCACGAAGCATTAGCATGGCGCATTTAGAATACAACTTCTCCATTACATGACTGGTAGCCATTAGGTTGAAGTGGAGTGAAGGAGAGTGGCAGGTACCCCACGTGAACTCCACTGAAAGCATAAATAGCTTGGTCTCAAAAACAAGGTCCCTGGTAAACATGTCAATTACCCCACCCAGTGATCAAATTATATATTGTAGCAGTGCACGCACTGGGCCCCTGATTCTTTCCCTTGTATCACATACTTTGTATCCTCCTTAGACTGACATTGTCATGACTGAGACCCCTAGGCCCAGGGGGTACAATAACAAACCTATTTTAACAGAATCAGCTGAACAATTTGTACTGTTTCCAATTCACTATGAAGAGGTATGATGTGTCTGTTCAATAAGTGTCAACATTTTGTTTAACCTCAAGGAAAGGCATATGACTTTTATAAAAAGGCTCAAGTGTCGGTTTGGTCAGCAGAGGAGATGAACTTAGCTCAGGATCGACTTCAATGGGAGAGCTGCTTGACTGAGGAAGAATGATCGATGTTTCAACACATACTAGCATTCTTCATGACTGCGGACTCCATTGTGGGAGAGAATCTAGTACAACGCTTTATGTGCAAGGTTCAAGTTCCAGAACTTCAGCTCTTTTATGGTTTTCAAGGCATGATTGAAAACATTCATTGGGAAGTCTATTCTCTTCTGATTGATACTTTGATATGGGACACCCAAGAGTGCTGACAACTCTTTCATGCCTTCTCCAAAATGCCAGCTGTTCAAAGGAAAGCACAGTGGGCCTTAAACTGGATGTTGAGTATGGGATCGTAGCCTTTGCTGCGGTCGAGGGCATATTTTTCTCTGGCTCATTTGCTACCATCTTCTGGCTCAAGAAGAGGGGTCTAATGCCCAGAATGACTTTCTCCAATGAGCTTATCTCTCGTGATGAGGCTCTGCACACACAATTTGTGTGTTATGTTTACTCCAACTTGAAGCATCGTCTGGAAGATGATGTACTCTGCACAATTGTTGTTGATGCTTCAGAGGTTGAGCAATCATTTTGGGACTGGTACGATAGTTAACTTTCACTGGCATTTCATCTGATTCTCTGTTTTAGATGCTCTGCGAAAACCGATTTTAGGGATGAACGCAGAAAACATGAAACAATACATTAAATTTGTCATGGACTGCTTACTCATTGACTTGGGTAGCTGTCCAGTTTATCATTCCAGTAACCCTTTTGACTTTGTGGAAATAATCTCACTTGAAGGGAAAACGAACTTTTTTGAAAAGCATGTGTCAGAATATGCGAGAACCTATGTCCAACATTCTGAGGATAGTGAACACATGTTGTGAGTCAACTATTTACTGTCATTTCTTTAACATTGATGCCAATTTTTGACGTGTAGTACTACTGAAGTCGATTTTTGAATTTCTCCTGTTTCAGGTTAAGCTAGTTATACAAGTTTGAATAGTTACTTAATGTATAAAAGAAGTTAATCAAGGAAACAGTACCAATCTATCCGTCTGTTAGCTAAGTTGCACTCTCAAAGGTCGGTAACAGACTTACCAGGGCAATCCAGGAACTTTCTCCCCATATCATTATCAAAAAACCTGTGAACCCTTAAACAGCTCATTGTTACCAGGTGGAACAGGCGGCCAACAATTATCCCTCCGTATACCTGTCTCATCTCTTCATGCTTGGAATCGTCGGGGCACAGTAAAAAGATGTCTACATGATGTTTGTCTTGAAGAACTCCTTGTTGAGCTGCGAGATTGAGTAAATTGAGGGATGTGAACAATAAATCCAAGGAGGTGAGAGGAATGTATACAGAGAGTTGTTGGAATGAAGAGGCCATAATGGAACGTAACATCTCAACGATGTCTGCAATTCGTGATTCTGAACATACAACCTCCAGCTGCTGAAGTTGTTCCAAGTGACCAAGATAAATATAAGCACTTCTGACATAGGTTTCTAGAAGGAAAGTTTAAGGTTCCATCATAACAATACATGGGTGACCCACCAATGAACACGAGGCATAAGTTCCTTAATGTTCCTTCAGAAAGTTCTATTATTCTTCTTGGTAGACGGACATTGTTCATAAACAGCTTGCACTCCAGATTGGTCAGAGACAGTGGACCATGAAGATGTGCCAACCAAGCAACCATTCATGGATGGAGAGGGTTTTCAATCGGGCTTTCTTGCCAATTTACCAGAGCACAGATGTTGAGATGTAAGGAACGTAATGTTTGGGGAAAAGAGGGTGGGGGTACGACACGATCATTTCCAGGATTGTCTGAGTCTTCTATCACTCATGTTTTCTTCCCTCTGAGTGCGAAGTGTGTCAACATTGTCATGCTGCACACTAGAAGGAACAAACCCTGGGTAGAAAAATGGCAGTTCCAAATAGATAGTCATTGTAAGTTATCAAGATGATATTCCAGTTCTTGGGTGCTCTTGAGTGCTACGCAATCAAGCTGGATGGTGTGCAATGAGGGTAGTGGCTTTGTTAACAAATCTAGTGGACAGCTGTTCTGGTAGTTGTCAAACTCCCCATCAATGGAAAGATGCGTTACTTGGGATTCGGGTTCTTCATCTATATCTTCCTCTCCATCGCTTCCAGCAATTTCGGAAGGGTCTAAGTCTGGCCATATGAGAATTGATGCCATGAGGAGGAAATCCGTGTTAAGAAGAGGATGACCCGAATGTTCTGTTAGTTCAGAACACTGATGATGCATGTTCAGGCATAGTTTTTATGAGAGATAGTGATCATTTTGCAGAAGTGAAGAATGCGCAAGGCCACCAGAGACACTGTCGAAGTTGTTTCAAGTGATTTGTCAACAACTGGTTCTGGTCCAGATATAGATTCCTTATTCGGCCTTCATTTTGCGGCGACGAGGCTCGTAGAATCCCATCATTTTTTTTTCCCTTTTACTACAGCTACATGGCCTAAACAAGAGTAACAGATTACAAGTACAGGAGAAAATTAAGAGAACAGAACACTATTACAAGTACACACATTAGAAATACAAGTACAAATCTGTGAAAAAGAAATAAAAAAATAACAAAGGTGTGGAGGGAAGACAAAGAATAATGTTTTTCAGGCATGAATTTCAGGTCATTATACAGGAAGAGACCATACGGAGTACAACACATCCACAGTGAGATCATGCAGGTTTTTTGTAGGCACTCATCTGTCTAGCTGGCCAGCAATATAACGAAATGCCTTCACTAATACCTCACGATCAGTGGTGATGCTGAACTGGCAGTTGTTATCGAGTGGTACTCCAGTGTTCGAGCAAGGCATCTTTTCAAGAGCACATTGATGGCAAGTGACAGGCATGATGTCGGGAGAGGTGTAGTAGCATTTTCTGGTGTTCTCATGGCAAAAATCACACTGGAAGAAAGCCTGCATTTAGAATTTTCAGGTTGCAAGTATCAAATGATGAACCCTGGATGCCATTTGAATTGGCCAGATCGTCCAGTTCTCCATTTCTGAGAACCTATCCGCAAATTCAAAGAGTTGTCTTTGCATAGCGAAGAACCCAAGGTTCTCAAGTACCATCCTCATTTTAACAGGCTGAGGACAGATGACATCAGCAAGACGACATTCTCTCGGTCCCATGGAATGCAGAAGCAGATAGAGATCAACTAACCACTCCGAAGTTTCGAGATGCCAATGTGGATTGGCATCTCTCGGTGGGAAGTTGCCATGGTAGCGATTAGCCAGTTCATTGAACTAGGAGATAGGTCAGTATTGACATCTTCTTGTGATAATCAACACACCCTTGACAATAAAAGAGCATGAAAGGCTTTTTCACATGCTTCATCACTAACATGAGGGACCTAAGGAGTTGTTTGAGCCATGTTCAGTCATAAAGTAATTGCACATATGGCAACTGATCTCTTCTTCCAGTGGTACAAGCCTTGGATTGGGTCGGTGTTCATGATATCATCAGGCATGACATCAACGTTCAACGTCTGAGATGAGATAATCTCATGCACTGCTCCAACATACCCCAGAACTTCAGTTGGGTCGACCAGCAGATAATCCTCATCATTAGCAATGTCGAGAGTTGAGCTCCTCGTCAACCCATCTTGATTGCATCTGGCACGAGTGTCCTGGGGATCGAGCCAGCCAAGAGGCGAGGTAGAAGTTGTCTGAGACGCCGCTCCAACCATATCAACGAGCTGGTAATCTCCATCAATCGCAGATTCCTTTACGGAGGAGTCATTGCTTTTAAGATGGTCATCGTATGTCATTGGCATTGTAGGGGGTTGGCTATAGCCCTGCAGGGGAAGTGAAACAGGTGATACTAGGAAATCCATCTGATCAAGGCCCTGATGAGGATGTCCCAGTCCTGTTTGCCTCCATAATCTGTGGATTGTCGGAAGGCCCTCTACAACAGCTGTAGAGGTGGTACCAGTCGGTGGGTGCAATGGGCTAGGTTTGGTGACACTTGACAGTTGGGCAGCAAGACTCCATGAAGAGCATGGCTCATACAAGCTTGGGTGTGGTTGCGCGAGTATCTCAGGCAAGAAGATGCTTCGGGAGCCTTGAGAGAAGTTGTCAGAGTTTTGAACTATCTCGGTGTTTGATGCCATTAGAGTAATGCTGAACATTCTCAGACAGATGGCCTTATATATACCAAGTTTCTTGGAAGCAAGTATGACGTCTGTCGACATAACGGTGCACAGATCAACCAGAGAGAACATATGTTTTGTCTGTCAGTGCATAGGTGATCATCCTGTGGATCTTACTAGGTCTTCAGAGTACAGGCAACCATACATGAGTCTGCAATTTATAAGTCCTTATCATCTGGATAGTGCTGAATAAGGGAGAGAGAGAGAAAAGAATGTTGGCAAACATGGGACCAACCGAGCTCATTCATAAATATAACTTGTCTTGCATAAAATTAGCTCGCAAGTTTACAAGGATGCTATGTTGTCTTGAATAATTCCTCATCTCCTGTACTGATCATATGGGAAAGGTGAATAGCAGCCCCAGAAACTCTGATGAATGTAGCTAGACACATGTACATCAAAAGAAGCGGTCATTCCCATAAGCGACAACTGTTCTTCAAGAGATTCCATTGCCTGTATCTGCTCAGGCAGTGCCCCTCCAAACACGTGAAGTTGTATTGAAATTCTTTTAAGAGCGGGAAATTGGTTTCCATCTTCCAGGAGTGCAAACCAAGAATTCCAAACCCGTAGAGGTTGCAGTGAGGTGTTTATGGTGATGTCGAGTGATAAACACAGTAACTTTGGACTGTTTTCGATGGTTTGCACCATGTTCAGTAGTTGCAACAAGGTGTTGTTGAGAAATGTAATCCATAGACATAGGAGCTCAGGATAAGATGGGAGTGACAACGATATATTTGCATTCATTGTTTCCCCTGTAATTCCCATAATTCTTATTAGTCAAGAGTCTACCAATTGTTATAAAAAACATCTTACATCGATGAAAGTATAAATCAAGTTCTGTGATACTTTCATTGCAGACGTTTATCATCTGTCTCATGCTCATCCATACCCTTTCATCGACTGAAAGCTCAAGACTCTTTAGAACTTTCAACCCTGGCAGAACAGCATCTGCAAAACGATCGTCTGTCAGAAGGAGGTTCAACCCATGTTCTGCATGATAAGTGAAGCTTTCGAGCTTGAGCGACAGTTGAACCGGGGCACTACAGGGCCTTGTTATTGTGAGGAGATAATTTGGGCCTTCTGTAGGAAAGGAAAGGCGTCTGAGTGATTTTAAATCTTTTAGCCAGCTGTACATCTCGTCCGAGGTAAATGCTGAGCCTAAAACCGTGCATTCTGCTATGCAGGACCAATCTGCTTCTAGGGCAAGCATGTCATGGATGCAAACACCGTCAGCAATAAAGCTAACAGAATGCCAGGATGCCTGTGTGAGAAGGGCTATGGCCTGACAAGTGTCTTTAGGCCAGAATTCTCTTTCATAACGGAGGCAGATTTCTTGGACATATGGTACGAGATGCCACGATGCTGAGAAGAACTGAAAAGGAGTTTCTCTAGCTCCTATGGACAATAATGAAGTGCTCCTTATCAGATAACCTTGTGCATGCTCTCTACATTGATGGCATATAAGACTGAGTGCTATTGCATTATCTGAAGAAACCACACACGTGAAGTCGATGATGAGATTGGAAAGCTCCTTTGGAATGGATAGATCTGAAGAGTAGTGAAGGAGCATCAGCAAATGTTTGTGCAGAGAAACCTTTCCTTATGTAATGACTTATTCGGGTTCTGATTCTCAGGTCCGCCTGTCCGGGCTTCTACATCCTTATCAGGTTACAACTTGCTTTTGCTATAGAGGCCTAAATCGCTGACATTTGTTACAATTAATGGTAGTTTACAAAGAAATACTATGACTATCTTACACCTTTTGAAGAGAAACAGTAAAAAAAATCAAATACTATGACTATCTTACACCTTCTGGGGAGAAATAGTAAAAAAAAACAGTATCCAAGCCTACGACTAGTATACATTTTCTTCAGAGTCATCCTCCATGCTGGCATTACCCACAAAGGCATTCTTGTTATCATCGTCTCCGGAAACACCAACAGCATCTAGCGTGGATAGATACATTGGCAAGGGCTTTTCAGGGTTTCTCCCAGTCAGATTCTGTTGGAGGATCTGCCAAGCGGAGAACAACTTGGATGTTATAAGAAGCAATGCTATAGCTCACTTCTTTATAATGACCAAGAGTAAAAATAATGAGGACAATACTACCGTTCTCTGGATCAACCTTGTTTAAAGGACATGTGTTATATATGGAGAGCTTGAAGGGTGCTTGGCAGTCAAATACAGGCACTGTAGTAGTTTGTCAGTTCTCGATCCTAGGTTTTATATGAAGATACTCGCTGGGTTCGTCTTGTGGATGAATGGCTGTTGTTCTCTAGTCAGTTTAGCCGTTGAGGTTGATATCTCAAAGCTTACCTGGACTGTGATGCTTCCCGCTTACAGGAAAAGTCCTTCCCGATTTGCCTGCTACAGCCTCAGACCTGAGTTCATCAAGCTTTTGAAACAAGTACTCACTACTATCTCCACTCTTAAGCCACGAAGTAAAGGATAATCCACCCTTGAACCCGTTGTTCATCAAAACTTTGTTAGGACCCACGCCAAAGATACGACCAATTGCCGCTGCTGCCCGTGGCCAAAGGAAGTGAAGAGGTTGAATGCAGATCTGCTTTGAAGTCGAAAGACCAAAGAGATCGCTGTAAACTACAGAGCCAACGATGAAGAAGCTTTGGGATAAAAGCAATGAGCAAACGACTCATTCTGAATTGACAGAAAACTCTGTAGGATCAACGAGAGCTAGGTTCATGAGAAAGTCTCTTGATGGGGCAAAGGTGATATGCATGATGCGGCTGAAAGCGATATCAGCAACCTGTTCAAGCAAGCTTCCATAGCAGCCTTACTGAATCACGGGGAGATTGTTTCTGTAGAGTGCAGCCACATCAACAGTTGGGACTCTATCAGGGATCTCCTTGGACTTTATGTAGTCCTTAACGCGTCCCAAGGGAATCAGAGCAGATACAATTGCCTGATATGGATTAGCATTGGTAGTTGAGAGCTGGTTTCCCTTTCCTGCATTGGATGCTGCATCGGACACTCAGTCCCTACGATTCATGGATTGAGTGAGCTGCAAGAATGTGTCATTTAACATACTCACCTTGCCTTCTCGTGCTTTGCCACTCCTCCGTCGGATTCTTTTTCAGGGGAGTGGTCCCTATGTCTCATAGCACACTTCAGTTGTTAATACACTCAGTGAATAACACTCACCTTGACTTTTGGTGAGAATCGTCCATGCTGTGGGTACTCCCAACTTCTTCCCCAACTGTAATTGCATTAGAACCTGTGGACACTGGATGCAATGCATCATTCCTGTTTTGCATAAACGATTCAGTGCAGTCCTAGAATAACCAGAGCTTATGCAGAAGAGCTTCCAGAATGTAACGTACTTGCTGTAGACAGAGGCAAAGTGCTGACAAAATATTGGCATTGGGCAATGGTATCATTTTAGGACAGTACATACCTGTGAGGTTGCTTTGGCTTTGGTCCATTCTGAGCACCAGGAGACGCCTCCCTTTTCCCAGGACTAGTAGCGGTTATCATCTGTTCCCTGAAAACAAATATACCACTCACTTGTTTTGACTGTTGCTTTTGACCATGATGTTGAGAGTGAGTTAAGGAGGCGAAGCGAGGTGAGGAGTCCCATGCCTTTTGTGAAGGAATGAAGTTCAGGAGAATGACATCATCACCAGAAGCAGTGCACTCAAAAGCTTACATCATCCATCACATCTTAAACTTGTACATCCCATGATGTGAGTTAGCAAATGATTTTCCCCTCTCTTCTTCTTCTGTTTCAGTTTTCAAACTTGGTTTCCATGCTCGAAGTTTCACCATGATTACAAGAGTCGATACTATGTTCATCATCACATGTTCTCCTAGGCATCTGTTGGAATAGGACGACTTACAATGACCCTCCACATCGAACCTCTACATCGTCATAGCCGAAGGATATAGAATGAGTGTAAGTGACCAGTAAAGGCCCTAGGAATGTTGACCCTTATTCCTCTGCAGCTCTCCAGAGGTAGAATACCTTATTCTGGTTTATCTGGGAGCCTGAGAGCTTCTACGCTATGCTAAGTGCAGTCACCTCGCTTTTGAGCAAGTATCTGACTTCATCTTTCGCCAATATTCTGTCTGTAAATTACTAGGGAACTTTTTCCCTATGCAGCACAGCTACGATTACTTTTGAGAAGCACAAAGAGGATTGGGCATTTTAGCCTCTGGCTCGCAAGTTACTGGACTGTTCTTAGGTGAAGAAGAAGTCTTCAAGAACAGCAACCTTGACGTCTATGTCAACGTCAAGCAGGAACAGGCTTTTGAAAATCTCCTTGAAAAAGCAGGCTACAGTATTTACCTCGACCTGACAAAGCATGGGGAAGTTGTTTTGATAGATGACAATGATCTTCTCATCGCTATCAATTCTGACCAAATGATTTTGTGAACAAAATACGTGGACAGTGCAATCGCCTCGGTCAAAGAATTTCGCAACGATCAGGGTAAGGTAGTCCAGGTTATCGCCTCATATGGGCTCCCCATGGACATTATCTTAGGTTTTCATTCCAGTACATACATCTCACTGTTAGGTTTTGTCTGTTGAGTGTGATTGACTTCTTCCTCCAGCCTGTGTTATGAACATAATTGGCTACAAGTTTGCCTATTGTTTCTACCCAAATGTGACCATTCATGAGAGGGCCTCAATCATTCATGTCGGGCATGATCTCAATTCTGTTCATGCTTGTGAAAAATGGGAGAGCCAGGGCTGGTGAATGATCAAGGAAACCACCTCCACTCGTTGCCTTGATCTGCGTATGGTGAATCGACATGTGGGAGATCGATACTGCTGGCGAATCCCTTGTGATAGGCCTCTCTCGCTCTCAGACATCAGTCGATTCCAATCTTAACCAATCAACAGATGTATTGAGTGGACACAGTTGGCAGTTACTCTATCCATGAGACAAAGACGATGGCTTTTATGCTATCTATGCATGGCTCCTTTTACTCTGATTCCATCAGTACATTTGCATCTTAAACAAGGTTATGCAAAAATTGGAAACCATTATGACTGTTTGGTGAGTTCTGGTGTCTGATTCCAGTGTCATCATGAGCTCAACCAAGTTGGCAGGACAGAACTGAAGTTTTCCAACTACGTAAAATCAGTTCTAAACTAGCTTAATCCATGCCAAGGTAAGATGGTATCTCATCCTCTTTCATTCTCTTTCCCCCCCTCACACTCTCTCTTCTCCTTATGAAGGGCATTGCTACCACCTCGTCCGGCATGCTCAGATGTTTCTTATTATTATTATTTTTTGAAAACTGTAACTATTAATTTTTCTAAATTAAATTAAATTTTCTCCTGTCTTGCCTTAGCTCAGAAGCATCCAATGACAACAACAAGCTTATCTATCCCTTCATCAGAAGCTTTTCATAATGTCGCACATGAAAAAAGTAAGCCAGCTTGCTGCTAATCAATTCAGTGATTCCCACCCTGCAAAAAACAGAATGTCTTTGACAGTGAAGACATTGCTGTGCTGTACAAGCCTTGCTAACCTTAGCCCCTTCCAGACCAAACATAAATAGTTGCCTTTGAACAGATCATGCTGTTGTCTCTCCCTCTTTTGTCTTCCTTGACGATTTCACTTCTTATCGGCATATTATGAGCCTTCCTCAGTATCAAGCATCCAACGCTATTACTCTGGCTGTCCAGAGTGATGATTTCAGTACGTATCTCTATTACACTATCAAACAGTTAGGCTAACTTGGTCCGAAAATAGAAAATATGTATAAGGAGGTCTCTGACCAACTTAATCAAGAACCAAACCAGCTTTTCAGTTATAATTCCACCCAATCCATTCTTGAGGGCTTCTTAGTAGATTACCAAAGCTCCGATGACTTTGTCTTCATCACCAATGCAAATACTGGCAAAGAAGAAGTTTTCCAAGTTCATGGCGTAATTTCCGAGGTTCATCTGCCTCCGGTGCTCAAGGCTAACCAGCAAGTACACAGTGTAAATTGTCTAACATGTTGATTAACTTGGAACAGTATTAGCATGAACAGACTTGTTCAAACTGTCAAGCTCATCAGTCCTGAAGACAACCAAGTGTTTTGAATGGCAGGACAAGCGACTTCTTGCATGCTCGAGTTTCTTCAGCAGTCAGTTGGCAGTCCTGTACAAGCTCCTTATGCAGTTCAGCATGGCATCACTCAGGAGCTTACATTTGTAAACCAATTATTGACTCCGAGCCACTCTGCCTTTCCTGACGATATCATTCAGCTTCCTTCTTCTTATGACTCCAGCCAAACTCTTGAGGAGTACCTCAGCGAAGGAAAATTTGCCTTCACCAAAGATAATCAAGTAGCATTCAACAAATTATCAGTTAATGAAGATCACCAGTACGTGTTGTCTTTCTGCCACTGCGATACTATCTCAGTTATCAAGGCTTTGTATGATTGAGCATATCAAGCTGGGTATCTTTTGTCCGGGTCAGATAGTAAATGTTGGAGTATTGTTGCGCTTGATCAAATCGACGGCACCCTCCCCAATGTGTTTTATTTCGCATCTCGATTCTGTTTCCCTTATTTCTTGGGGTGTGAGAAAGGTAACGTAGTTTCAGCAACCAATGTATCTCTTTCCATGACTAATTTTTCTCACTTAGTCTCTCGACAATCATCGTTTCCAAAGGACTATACCTAAGCGCAGCCTTCCTGCAAAAAGATGACTGGCCTCTGTTTTGAAGCTCAGCCAGCAGTCAAAGTCTGGTGGATCAATTTCGATGCTGATGGATTAATGTTCTGTATTATTTTTGAAGTTACATGTCTTCCAGAAAACCGGTCCATTGGCTGGATCCTGATAAGAATTGAGTATAAATTAATGAGTAGTACGAGGGTCTTTCAGGCACTTTTCGAGTTCTGCTACTGCTCTCCCTGTGCAAGCGTGTCATTGATGGTGAGGTACAAATCTAGTTGTTTGTGATGCCAATCGATGCCTTGAGCACAGGTGGTCATTTGAAACCTGAACATGATCATGAGCCTTAAGAATGGGCCAGAAAGTGAGGAAACATACTAAATCCGAATCACTGTACGGCTGAACTGTCTTTGCCATCCTCCTGTTTCACTCGAGGGGGAACATGTTCTGAAGCAACTTGATGAGCTCAGAATTGTCTACCGTCTGTTGGTAGTGGTGAGCCTGCAGAAGAAGTGTCATCAAGGTTAAGAGACCAAGAAAAGGATAGCTAATATACCTGAGAGATGATGGGCAACATCTCACAGATGTGCCTGGTCATCCCCCCTTCATATCTTGACAATCTTGGCCACCATGTTGAGACCGGGGACTACAGCATGAAGCTTTCTTCACAAGTGTGCAAAGCTCTTGGGTTGAGATATCGCTTGAAGAGCCCTCAAGCGGTATCTCGAAGATGCCTGTCACCATGAAACCAGTATGAGAGTCCATGTGTTGAAGTCTTGGCCTGAATGGAAGCTGTTGACTGTGCTGTGAGGAGAAAGGCATTGGGAGAGGGCTGGCTCATATCATATGTAGGTGGAGAGCAGATGAGAGCAGATGAAAGCAACGAGAAAAGGACGATGGCAAGCCTGGCACATCACAAGGTACAGATCAATTAGACGCTGCTACGATGCACAGGTTACATCTAAATTTGGTATGCCAGGCACATGCCATTGACAATTTCCTGATCATGTCTGGAAAAAATGATGGTGCAGGCCATTCAACAATCTTTTTCTCTCCATCATTTCTGTTGATGAGCCTAAACTTCTGTGGCAACGGCAAAAACCAAAACTCTAGAGGAGTTCACGGCAAATGGCACGTAGCGGCAATAAAGGCTTTGTTGTTGTGCGAGTGTTTCAGTGCACCTCCATGCGATGAATTCCTCAAGAATGCAAGTATACACTGCGACTTTTCAGTCAGCGAAGTAGTACCCTTAACGATCAAGTACTAGAAAATGTTGGCTGTAAGCCAGGAAGGGTCTCGATAGATGAGAAGGAACAGAATCCGGTATAACTGGAAATACTGGCAAGCCGTGAACAAAGTGATGGCAATTAACTAGTAAAAGCCATAGGCGGAATTGGTGGAATTAATGGAAATGCCATCAAAGAGAAATACCATTGGCAAGATAACAAATACTGTGACGGCAAGAGACAAAGACTGTAGTCAAGAAACTGGCGGTAAAACGAAGAGAGACTGGCTGGTGGAAATGTGAAAGGGAACTAGTGGCAGCAAACGATGAATGGAACTGAGTGATGATGAAACTAAAACTGGACTGAGGTTAACTGCGGTAAAACGAAACTGATACTGATCCTGAGTCTACATGGAGACTATCCTATACTGAAACTGATGGCAAGATACCAAATACCATGACTGATGATCCTATACTGAAGCTGTTGACCGAAATTCCAGTGACAGATGCTGCTGGCAGCAATAACGATCCTAATCTGAGTCCACACAGGGATGTAACGATCCTGAACTGAACTGGGTAAAACGATGGCGATGTAGAAGGTGAAAACTGATGAAAATGATCCTGGCTGGTGAAAGTGAAATGATGCTGGTGGATTAAAAGATAAAAGCGAGTTGTGGACACCAAATTCCGTGTATTGGCGCAATATGAGCATACACCAATACTGTTAGAAGAAAAGCCATGACAGAGAGTATAACTTGGAGTGACTATGTTGTTATTGTCTATCTCCTAGCGAGTACAAGCGATAATGGTGGTCGATAACATGGATGATGGCTAGTGTCCAGTAACTCTCTAGCCACTACTATTTTCTGTGATGTATACTAGCTTTTATACTACAAGTCCGGAATAAATTTAGAATACTTGAAGCGAGTCCTTAGTAAGTCCATAGTACATAGATTGGTAAGAAATGATACCAAACACATGTTCCCAAGGTTCTAAAGTACCAGCACCCACACGGTTTTGCTGTGTACTGTGGTTCGAAAGTAACAGCACCCATATGGATTTACCGCATATAGATGAAGTGATTAGCAAGAATGCCACCGATCTCCGGAATTTTGAGCTGCTGTGTTGCTGCGGCAAAGTACATTGAAGCAAGTGTACTGAAGTAGATGCTTGCGGCAATCTCTTGGTGGTATAACAGCCTTAGTAAAGACTGAGGAAAGGTCACAGCATTAGAGCTAATGCCATGGAATTGCTATTTGAGCTGCAGAATTGTGGCTGTGCTGCGGAATTGCGGCTGTGCTAGGCAATCAGATGGGATTCTAAATCCGTGAGATCAACAATCTGGTGCCTGGCAGAATTAATGAAAGAAGACTGGTGGAATTAATGGAAGGGGCACGTAATTGATGTGGGGTACAAGTGGGGAAGGATAATTGGTGGCATTAAGCAATATTGCCAGGATTGAAATAGTAGGTTTGTGTGGTGGCTGGGGAATTAGCTATCTGGTAAAACCCACGAATTCTGAGTGTACAGAGCCTGGAGGCTCATCACCGTTACAGCTAATTTTCACTAATCTATCATTGGGACATATAAAACTATATGAGCCTTCCCAGATCTAAGCCTTGTAAGATCTGTTGATGCTAAGTCGATGTCTTGTAATCTGCCCCCATTCACTTGACTATCATACTCGTATGTCTTTTCTGGCAAGAATATTCTAGTCATAAAGTGACTTCCAGTAAAATAGACAACACATGCAAGGCAATAAAACACCTGTCCACTTACCAAAGGTATGCACAGTTCTAGTCCCAATCTCATCATTGATGTTTATTCAGGAAATAACTGCAGGCAGATCATACTAGGTGCATTAACAAAAACAGAGGTCCAGGTCGAATAACCGGAGCAAGACATTGCATGAGAATGTCTCTCACTATGAATGGCCTCTGTTACACGTGTGCTTGAATCACAGGTATAACCTTTCATACACATGAGTAGCCACTGCTGAGTTGTCCCCATTGCTGCTTCTTCACCTAACAATCCAGCACTCGACCATGCTCTTGGACTGCAAATTCCTGCAAATGTCTGTGTTGCAGGAACAACAACCTTGCTGCAGCCCATGTTACAGGTAAACAAAGGAATGATATTGTACTCATCACCTGTCATCAACATCTCTAACATATCTGTTACAGGTATCATTGCCTCTCCACATCTGGGGAAAAGTCTTGGTAACTGCCGACTCAGCATGTCACGGATGGTATTCCTCATGGCATTCATTGACAAACTCCCTTCTCAGTTTTTCTCCACCGAGTTCTGCATAAAACTTCTTGCTAGCAGACATCTGAAAGCAGAACTCGCCTTGAATCTTTCCTTCCAAGATGGATTAGCGGTGTGGAAGACATAATACAATCCAGTAAGCACAGAATCATACATGCACAACCAATTTTGACAATCCCAGCTACAGCCATATAATGAAATATCTAAGTCATAACTCCGACTGACTATCTTCTGCTTTTTCCGAGATCCTGTCATGACTGAAGGACCTTTGTCAACACCCCTTTTGTTCTCTCTGGCTCGGACATCATTTTTCTCTCTAGGTTCATTCCTCTTCGGCATTTTCATACTCACCAATTCTTCTGCATGTTCATACTCTTCTCCAGTTCTCTTTCTCTTCCTAGAATGGCCTTCGTCATCCTTGGGGTTGTTATACTCCACTAGATATGGCTTGGGTGGCTCAGGAAGCTTGATCAACATGCCACTTTGGTACCCATGATTGACGAGACTGTTCCATGCAATATCCTCAATCTTTTTCATCTCATCCACAAGGTCAGGTGGCAATGGCTTGTTCAGATCCTCTAGTTTCACCTTGCTTGTAACATACAGGTCCTTTCTTGAAGTAGCTCTCGAGGCTGCTACATATGCCATGAATCCTTCCTCATCTATGAATGCTATTATGCTTGTCATTGTTTGGCCCTGTGCAACCTGCCCTGTACATGCGAAACCACCTTGGAATGGCATCTGTTCTCATGAAATCGTGACATTGATGCTCTTACCCTGTGCGTTCATGATAGGATGCTTGAATGACCAAGTAATTAGTGATATGGGAAAGTATCCTCTCAGCAACCCTTCCAACTTTACAGTAGATGCTGGAAACTTGACAAGAGCATACTTTGCATACTCAAAACCATATTCGTCTGTCTCCATCTCGACATGTCTAAGAAAGCCCTGAGCACCATTCGTAATTTTCAGATCAGTAGACAAATTCTTGGATCGAAGGATAACAGGCATTCCTTCATAAAACGAAAGGCGGCCAGGTAAGGCTCCTTTGTTCATCAAACTCAAAATATCGTGGTCTAACAAATCCTGACAATACTCTTCAGGTACTATGCATCCTCGGATCCTGTCCATGGCACAGCAAGTCATCAGCCTCTTTCCTTGTGAGTTGCTTTTGGCCTTATATGAGTTTATCGAATGACAAAGCAAGTTAGTTCTTACAACGGCAACTGCTTCAATCCCTTCCATATCAATCCTGTCGGATTCCTCATCCGACTTAATTACCCTACTGTTGAGAAGGTCTACATCTTCCAGAGTACATTGCCACAACTGGAGGCGCTGAACTGCATCTCCATACTCAGGATCACCTTGCATTCGTTTCTGTTCTTTCAGACAGACTGCATCTGTTAATGCATTACAGACTATCCTCCTGAGCCGTTTGCACAAATTACAATTGTTGATTGGAGTATGTTCTTTGATCTTCGAATACACCGAGGAACCTCGTAGAGGCGGGAACTGATACAAGTCTCCTGTGAAAATGACCATCATTCCACCAAACCACCAATGATCCCTTTCCTTCGCAAACCTACAACAGGCATCTATTTTGGGCAATATTCCCTGATCTAACAAAGAAACCTCATCGATAACTAATGCCTCCACATCTCTGAAGTTCTGTCGTAACTTGTTATGCTTGGAAACCGTCAGGGTCGATCAAAACACTTCCTTGCCATCCATTGTGCTACTGCGTTCAGATGGTCTATCAGCAACTCTTAATCCAAAAGCTTTGTGAACTGTCATCCCATCATTAAGAGCTGCTGCTGAGCCAGTCAGAGCCAAGAAACATATGGCATGTCCATCTCCACAATGTTCCATCACAGCAATCAGAGCTCAGATAACATGCATTTGCCTGTGCCTCCAGGACCAGTTAAAAACATCCGCATGGGAAACATCTCCAGTTCACGACTGTCTTCACCACGTCCAAGAATCTTCCTGAATATGTATGTCTTGGCCATAATCCTGAATGCTATATCCTGCTCACGATTCAGCTTAAACAGTTTGGACGTTTCAAGTAGAAGCTTATCCACATCACTGAGATCAGACATGTTTGCAGTGGTTGCAGCCGGACACCGGTTAAACCGAAACCGAAGATTCTTAGGATGATCAGCATCTTCTAATGTCTCACAATCAGTCTCTCGTACCTCAGGAGCAAATTGACGAGACGCATCAGCTGCATTTAGCCTGGATGCAGACACCATGTTTTCATGTTCCTTAACTTGAGCTTGCCATCTTTTCATAAGAAGGCTCGTAATTTTAAGATCAGACTCAGGAAGATTCCAGTGATTGACGACCCTTTCTGTAGGATGAAACCAATTAGATTCGGCCAGCTTAACCATATCATGCACAGCCTTTGCCTCTCCAGTTACATCTTTCCTGTTTGGATCCAGTAACTCCAGAAGCTCATCAGAGTTATCGCTGAATACCTTATCCAGGAGCACAGACTCCTTGACCAAAGCTTGACGTTTCTTCAAAGTCTCAGCCTCACACTCATCCTCACACTCGTGCATCACCTCCCAGTTTGCCATGCAGTTCCTGGCCCTGTGCGAAAACTCGTAATGATCAAAACAATCATGAATGCTTTCACCGTTGGGTACCAATGGAATATCTTGATGAAATGGTTTAAAGTGCACTAGCATAAAAGCTTTATAAGAGTCATGGTGAGCCCATGGTAAGCGATGCCCTACAATCTGAGGCACCACCTTTGTCATATACTCAGCTTCCTTGACAGTTGTGTGTTCAGCAATCTCATATGTCTTTCCGAGCTCAAAGTCAGGCAGGAAATGAAAACGCCTCGTTTTATCTATCCTATCTCTGCTGGTGTAGTTAGATAACATGTCATCATCTTTGGTCCCTTGCTTTATAACCTTGAATCTGAAAATGTAGTCATAAAACAATACGTCTTTCAATTCAGATGCATGGTTTAGATATTCCTCTACCTGTGATCAATGAACCAGAACCCCTCCACAATTAATGCAAACAGAAACAAATGCTGTCTCAGCCTCTTCAGTGGAATCTTCCCCCTCTCCATAGCTCCATCTCACATGCACATATTCCATAAGTAAACCTGACATCATGGGCACAGTTTCATGTGACAAGAAAACTTCTTGCTGCCCCCTGATTACTTTAGCTGCCTGCTGCGCATGAACCTGATGTTGTTTAGACAACTGAGAGATACACTTATGTAGGACAGTCTGTGCCTCTAACTGTTCCCCCTTCAAAAGAGAAGCATGTGCATTCATTAAGGCATCTCCCATAAGTGACAGCATCTCATACGTCTTCAGACTCATCTTCATAATATAGTCAGTTATGTAAAACATGGCAGCTTTACAGGATCTCCCAGATAAAATGCACTTCATGTCATGATTGTGTCTACAGAAAACCAAAATAAAGTCATTGAAATAATTTATGAGAACATCCCTGCACGCCATAATAACAGACTGAGTCTCCTTGTCATAGTATGAATGACCGATGTATTCGTGCAGAAACAAAAACTGACATGTCTGATGGCCATACTTGAAACAGATGTCCTGATGAGAATGTTGCTGAAGCAGCTCACCACAATACTTAACCTCTTCTTTGAATCTACGTAGAAAATCCTCAATTTCAGCTGGTCTGGCACCTTGATCAGGGGGTGCAGGCAGTCTTTCTGTCTTCGGTTTACCATCCTTATCAAACACTATATCCTTGGGTAAGTCATGCCTTATTATATCCTCATAAAAATTAAAAAATTTCTCTTGGAATCGCTCAGACTCATTCATCTGGCGATGCAAATCGGAAGGGTTAAGTCCACCTAAAAGAATCATCAGAAAGTGAACGTGATATGAACCTCTTTCCATCAACTCATTTGTTCCATAGAATGCTTTCAAGTGACCTATCACTCCTCCATCGAGTGTTGATCATCTTTTCTTAAAGTCCCATCCAAACAAATGCTTGATCATCGCCTTACATGAAAAGTTGAAGAAATCCAATGCTGCTACCGGATCACTCGCCAGTCTCATGCAACGCTTCACATAGTTGACCATCGCTGGGTAATGCTCATCAAGGTTTACAGTCGTATCTCTGCACATCAACTGGAAAAGTGGACTGTTCTGGGGCAAAGGGTTGGCAGTAAAGAATATATGCGGGAGATTAAAATGTCCATAGTATGCTCTTATTTCATTTTGGTACATGATCTTCGAAGCTTCAGAGCCTGTTATCTTAGAAGAAATCGTTTTTACCTTGGAAAGAAGCATGAAAACCTTTTTTTCCTCAGCCATCAGATCAGCTACTTGTCCCTCTTCCTCTAGATGCCTGGCAACAGTCTTCAAGGTCACCGGAGTGACTCCTGTAATATCATCCGCAACAGTTTCAAAATCAGTTCTGTTGACAGCAAAATGAGTATGGAGGTGAGCCTGCCAGCGCTGAATCATGTTCATTACAACAAAAATAAATGATTCATGGTGCCTGAAGCACCGATTGCTAATGTCCAGATAGTAGTTGGCTTGACTCTCAAATGATACTGTCACCTTCCATCAATGATCTTCAAAGCCTCCTTTTCCAAAGGGAAAAAGTGTAGGGAACATGCCCATAATCAGGTTTAGATTGTTATATTCACCAATGGCAGTACTGCCACTAAAAACTGTGAGATCGGGTTTCTGATCAGGAGGTCTTATAAGGTTTATTAATGCAGCTGCCTGGAACATCCGCCCTTGGATTTTTACCAATTCAACATCAGAGACTCCCATACGTTCTAGAAGTGGTTCCTCCGACTCGTCATGCACATCCATACTGTCAACCAAGCCAGCTGCAAAATGTGGTTCCATCCCTGCCGTCTCCTGTTCAAAAATTTGTTTGGTGGATGAAGGGTCCAATTGAATAATGTGATCCTCCATTCCAGGTATCTCATCGTTCTCATACAGTAGCAGGTGAGCACGAGACAGCTCGATCTTCAAATATAATGGGTTATTAGCCACTAAGCATATAAGAAAATCCCACACTTTATCCTTCCTTATATGATACAAGGTCTTCAGAGATTTGAGTGGCTGGCGCAGTCCAACAAAGATGATGCTGAGCATTCCCTTTACATCTGCCGGTACTCGAGGCAAAACTGTAGCAGTCGAGACAAAATTTAAATCATGTGCGCATGTATTACTGTGAAATACTCGAGGCTGATCATTTTTCCCCATGTGGAAAAGTCTAGTGACATGACAAGTACAACGATATATGGCACACACCATCTCCTTGATAGGGCTTTGCACTGTACCGTATATGGTATATGGCTGTATAGCCACAGTACAGTGATGGGTGACAGCTGATCCATAACCATACTGTCAATGCTCTTAGAACTAGGTTGACGGTATGGTACGGGTATATAGATGGCCGTGCTGATCGTCAATACAGCCGTTGAATAATACATACCTGATATTTGGGGCTTTGGAGCAGCTCCAGGTCCTGCCATGGGCATGTTGTCATCTGCATCATGATAAAAATTGAATTTCGAGGGGGATTTCAAGTTTCCATTGGCATCGAGGGCACACTGATCTGTCATGATGCTCATAAGTCTGCGAAAAAAGGACCATTATATACTCTTTCGTGAACTCCTCTGGCTTAAAATTCAGCAGTATTTGACAGGTGCACAGGCCAGCGGGGGGCAAATTATTCTGCAATATGTGTGGGTAGTCAAACTCAAAGGATGAAACAGTAGTAGAATAGAGGCAGCAGAAGCAGGAAATAGAAAGTATTCTATGCTGGTAAGGGTTAGAGCTTGAGTAGAGCGAGTGAAAGAAGATCGGGTGGTAGCGCTGAAGAGCTTGCGGTGCCAGCACATCATGGTACGATGTTAAGTGTATGGCAAACACGTGTACAGTGTGATCTGATGATGGTTATTTTTAGATACATACATGGCTGTCGATTACCGTATGACGGCCGTGTTTATATGGTTGCTAACGGGATGTCCATATACCGTCCGTCTCTGGGCAAGTTATTTCGCCAGACAGAATGGGCACGGTACCCCTATGACAGCACCCATATAACCATACTATACGGTGACAGTGCGAAGCCCTACTCCTCGACCCAAGTCAAATCTCGAAAACGCTCAGGAAGTTCTCCTCGATAAAGATCATTCTGCAAGGAATACATTGGCAAATGCCCCCCTTGCAAATGAGACTCACAGCTATGGCATATATTCATAACACCATCTCAATATCCCCAAGGGTCCAAAAGATACCGTTGGAGCAAAGGATGATCAATAACATCATCTGCAGATCTTCCATCGTCCTCCCTCACGTTCAAGAGATCCAGATGTAACAAATTCTTGATTTTCTCTAGCCCTGCTTCATCATACCGAGACATCCCAAGAGGTTCACCTCCCTCGAGTTCCCATGAGCAAACACTACACACATAAGTAACAGGCCACTTACTACCTTCCATATATTGATGAGCACACTCAAGCTTCATTTCAGTATCGACAACTTGAGGCCATGCACGTTCAATATCATTGAAGTGCTGAGCAATGCTTTTCTCCTTGTTGTCTCTTTCCTTTCGGCGCACTACCTTACGCATCCCTTTTCGATGACGATCACGCATTGGTGCAATTACCCTATTGCAAAATGATGGTCTGTACTCCAGCTCGAGTAAGTCCAAAACGCCAAATGTGCTATTCAGACTTATGGAACTAGTATAAGCATTGGTTAGATCCCCAATAATCGGAGCTGGAAGACCCAGAAGCTGTCGCCATCTCCCAGAAAGCTCTTCCTGGAGTAGTTCTATTTTGACAGCCCGCTTGTCATGGAATGAGCATGATCTCCGGGAGTAATGCACTCGCAACAATGTACTCTTAAGTAAATCAGAAGGCATCGTCCACGTTCTCGAACGAAACGTGGCCGTGTCAAGTTCGGGATCGATCGAACGAAGCAATCCATTCCCCCTCCCATGAACCAACGGGTAAGAAGTTTTTGCAGGGCGAATAATTTTTGGAAAAACCTTATCCCTAAATTTTTCTCGGAAAAGTTCAAAACACATCCAGCGACGACTATTAACATAGGGACAGTTCTCAATTCCCTTTGACACACACAGTTGGGCCAGCTCTCGATCGGAAAGTGTTATGAACTGCCTAGCCAAAGCCATAAACATCGAAACGACCACGTCAATAGCTTCGTCCCGCCTTTTGACCTTTCACCAGTCCCCAATTACTCGACTCATCTCACGCACAGTTATCCCCTCGAACGCATCCTTTAACTCCCCTGAAGTCCGATAGAGCCACGACGGATTTGAAGGTAAAGTCGGGTATGAGACTTTATAATAAGTCCGAGGATGGAAAGCCGCGTCCTCAATTTCTGCTACAGTAAGGAATACACGTAAATCATACGAAGTATTCTCTACCAAAAAAGCACCGTCGACATAGGTTGCTCTCACCTCGCTCCATCCACTCTCACTACCGAAAGCGTTGCGCAGCCATTCACAGACGCCACCAGGAGTTTCAAAGACACGAGGAAACAGCTGTGGAAAGTAAAGAGGATCGTAATACCTCGGAAACTGCGTCAGAAGGTATTCACAGTTACAGGGAGGTTCATCGGCCTCATCCAGGACTCGTACGCGCTGACACGGAAGTTTACGAAGCGGAAAATCCATTTCTTTTTTTCTGGTGCAGTGTGTAACATGTTTAAGGCTCCCAAGGAGCGAGGTAATATACGCAGAGCATGGTCACCAAGTGACTTCCCCTCTACTATAAAGAGGAGACGGTGTCGGCGGAGTGCACTCAAGCACAACAACACAATGCAGAAAATGAGCCTGTTGTTTCTTAAGCTGCTATTATCTCAACATCAGCATCAATCCAAACCAGACACTTATCTGAATGGCGTACCAGCGAGCCAACTGTTCGAATGTTCTCGCTCTGGAGGTCCTGTAAACGCTATATAGGAATTTTATCCTCAGGTTTTAGCTGTTCAGCCTTTTGCTTTTGCGTCGTTATAGGGCCTGCTCCCAGTCAAGCGAATGTTTCAAAGAAGGAGACCAAGTCACGCCTCGATGAAACTCCTCAAGAGTAGCAAACGCCGAACTCGGCCCGAGCAAGAGAGCATTACCGGGTGTCTTCGTGAGAAACGTAAGTAATACGGCGAAACAAGTCCGTTCTTCGAGACATTTCCCCCTTCTCGTGACGCCCGGAAAACCATTCCAGGTAAATTTTTTGACTCATAATAAATACAAATTGACCCCTAGTCTGACGAGTTGGCAGGAGGATGGTCGTTATCTCTCCAAGTAATGCCCTCTGTCGTTTCCTCTATTCATCGGAAAGAATCGGGGAGGGCGGACCTATAAACGGGAACTAATTTTGAACAAGAACACGGGAGGGAGTCATAAGATGATGAGGCGCTATTGAGTAGGGAAGGCAACTTTTCTGTTATATCAAGTGATGCTCTGGCAGTATTCTGACCCACGTTCGACACTGCCCCTGTTCCCCTTCACTTCAACATGCGTAATATATCTAGTACCCCCAGGAATGCGGAATGATGAAGATGGCTTGTATTTGCCTCTATGCAGAGGATCGTTGCCTGATATGCAATTATGGATGGATTGAATGCTTTGCTAATAACGCGCTATATTAAAAAATGGGTACGCTGGGTCTACCCGCGGTTCGACGTGATGCCACCTGCAATAGATAGTTCGATAGATAAAACGGCGAGAGAAACTGTACGTGGTCTGACCAGTGAAACAGTCTGCCATTTATATAGTAAAGTGAATGACACCATAACGTGGAGGTTACGTCGTGTATTCCCTCGGCTTTTTGTAGAGGGTGAGCCGGAGATGTTCTCACTCCGCGTTGAACGTCATTTCTGACTTTCTTCTCCCGCCACGCTATTTCTGTAAGATAGCGCGTCAGCTTCGGATAGATGGAAGCTACGACAGGAGATGAGGAGCGTACGACATATACGTATATTTGTTTGCGATGTTCTGCCCCGCCTCCTCTGTCGGGACTCGGGAAGCAGAAGTGGAGCCTTTTGAATCGTGTTTGCTGGTGGGAGAGCAATATTGATAGCAAGGTTTGTGTTCCCAGTACCTGTGGTCACTGGCAATGCTCGAACAAAGGTTTTCCGTCATATGAGCGCAAAAATTCGCATGAGTCGGTCCGGCGACCGGGTGACTGAATATGATCTTGTTCATCCGGTGGGAGGCTGGCTGCGGTCGTAATTGCCGTGAGAGAAGTACGAGGCCAGGGAAGAATAGGATTTTTTATGAGAGGAATGCGTAATGCAGTCGTATGTTTCGTTGACCGTGATGTTTTTTTGGATAGGAGCGGTCGTGCATCGATTAAACACAAACAGGATGGACACTGAGGAATAGAAGGGATGTATACCATTAATCAAGTCAGATATGTGTCGAAGCGCTATTACATGTTTTTCATCAAGCGTTTTGACAAGTAAGAGTTACGAAAGATCCAGTTCCGGCAACGATAAAGGAGTACCATATGTGATGGAGACGACCGCCTAAAAACAGGTCGTCAATATGGAGCCTCGGGTTGCCACAACGAGATTAAAATACCGGTGAATGATGTCCGTTTGTCTCTAGGGCAGATTAATGATTGAATCTATCCAGAAATTACTGGCATGATGAGCAGATTTGTTCCCGACGTAAATCTGGAATCGCATCAAGGCACGATACGTAGCGCATGGAAGTGATGCAAAGTTTTAATTCGAAATTCGAACGCTTGTAGGTTACGGGCGGAGATGCAATTTCTGCAGTGACATAAAAATTGGGTGATGGAGGATCAGAGAACGGCGCAAATCCTCGGTCGCGGGTCGTGGGGATAAAGAGGGACTGCAAAGCGGTCGGACGTGATGCACGGAGAAATATGGATTTGTAAGGTGTACTGGTCAGGGTTATCATGTTTCGAAGCCTGGACTCGATTCGAGCTGTCAAGCATAATGAGTGGCGCGAGTAAGCTTACCCTGGCTGGCCGGTGTGGCCAGCTCGGTGTTGATGGTGATTACGACCGTGTTATAGGGAGTGGGCGAACGCTGAGGACTGAGTAGAGCGTGAAGTCTTGGATGAAAGATGGGTAACGGCCATTCGAACTGCGGAAGTACGGTTGCAGTGACGGAAGCGAACAATTTGAGACGCGGAAATTTAAAGGCAGATTGTAGACACCGACGGCCTAACGTCTCCCTCTTGACCTCTTACTATTCATCGCCGTCGTGTCAAGCTGGGCTTGATTTGCCTTTCATGATTTAGATATGATCCTTGGACTACGGGCGCAGCACACGACAAGACGTCTGTTTCAAACGAAGAAAAGATATTAGCAAGGATAAAAAAGTGGTAGGTTCTCGCCTCCTACTGTGTTGTTGTCGATTTTCGTAAAGAGCTACACACGAGATCTGGGGCGAAGCGAAAACATATAAAAATCTCGTCAAGACAGAGAGGGTAGAACGGCCTCTTCCGTATCACCGCCATCATGAAGGAGATGAACGCTTCTGACGATGGAAGCCGTCAACGTATGCGACGAATACCGTGGGAAACGGGAACAAGGTCGGGCCGGTGATATTCGGCAAAAGCCGGCATGCTCTGACCTCTTACCCTCTTTTAAAAAATCGCGAGCTCGTCGTCTCGCTCTACGATGCCGAGCATATTCTCGAGGTCGAAGTCGTCCTCGACAACGCAGAAGAATCTCCGACTCGACACGACTACTGACGAATTCGGACGAGTGTCGTCAAGGTCGTCACAGTCGCCATTGTCACCACCAGACGGATTTCTACCATTCACGCTCGACAGACCGCGCGATGCCACGGAGAATGACTACGGGTACCTCGCGTATGAGAGGCACGTCGTACTTGGCCTCGAGCAGGTCTCGCACCTCGTCGACGTCGTCAGCGAGGAATTGGGTACCCGTGGGGGCATAACGACGCCTTTTATATTCTCCTCCATGGCGCTAGACCTGTCCTCGACGTCCACCAAACGACTCATACGAACTTTTATTGACGCCTGCGCCGACCCTGGCTCAAAACAACATCGGTTCCGGGAAGAGGCCCGGTTTGCGGGGCCGCATGAGCTAGGAATGCTGTTGCGATGGGGACTCGGTCGTCTGGTACGGATTGTTGATGGACAGGAGGAGCGCGGTCTTATTTCTTGGGACCATTATACTGATTTTCGAGATTCAGAGCTCGCAGCAAATTTCCCTCCTACCCATTTCTCGACGTTCCTTCCACCATTACCTGCCCATCTGCGCTCCATAGTCATCACGGTGCTCAGTGTCCTCACACGATTGACGGCGAACTCATCGACGTCGGGACACACGCCACCGACGCTTTCCCCGTTGTTCGGGCCCCTCTTCTTCGGCCTGGGCCCGCCGGCACTGCCTTTCCATCATACCTACGTCTATTATCTACGAGCCACGAACGCCATGGAACACATCATTCTCTCCTTCATTCGCTTCCAGGATACTCCAAGGGCATCGTCTGCGTCAATGGGTGTCCCTACGCGACTGAAGGAGTGGATAAAGGGATATCCAATCATGCTTGCCGATCAGTCGTTGAGACCGCAACCACGCAAAGGCGCTCGCACTTACCGTGTCCTCAGTGTTCGCCGTAACGTGCGAACGTATACGAAGGATCTCGTCAAATCTGCCTCGACATGGGAGTGTAATCTGGGCAAAATTGTCGGTAAATCACCCGTCAAGTACTCCGATGGTTATAGGAAACGCATGGATATGCCGTCTCAGTTTGAAGCAGGTCAAGAAGACGGTGACCGGTTTCGGAGCCTCACCGATCTAAAATGGGGGGAATTCGAGTCGCTGGGATTTGGCGGTTTGGGTCAAGAAAAGTTGCAGTTTGATTTGAACGAGAGTGCCAGAACAGTGAGTATGCCGTCTTTCCCACCTCTCTGTCTTCTCATTACTCGTAGGCACGGAGCACTAAACGACAAACACTCAGCTGGAACGACTTCTCATCCACGGGATTCACAAGATCAGATGTAACGCCTCTCAGTGCGACGTTGCAGTTCTCGCCTCCAATGTCGGCCACGATCTCCTCTTATCAGCCAGCCGAATACGCCAAGAAGCTGAAAAAGGCCGCAAAGCATATACCGGCGTTTGGATGGGATACCGAACCCGTTGTAGGACAGGAAGAAGTGATCGAGGAAGCCTTTTTAGACGTCTTCTGTGACATTTTCTGTGGATGGGCTGGCGTATCAGAGATTGGCGAGGCTGAACGAGAATGTAACTGGGCCCTGGTATGTTCCTTTGTCTACCGTATATATTCTACTCAAGCTTTGCTTCAGATTGAGTTTCAACCAGACGCCCTACTTCTATTCGAAGAATTTGTTCCCCTGGAATATCGGCAGCAGATAAGTTCCTCGTCTTCTGGATCGAGCCGAAGACGTCTTCCATCGCTATTTTCGCCGACATCAACGTCGCCAAAGATGAAGTCGAAGTCGAAGAAAGACAAGACTGAGCGGTCGAAGCCCAAGGCGCTGAGCCCAAAGGCTTCGTTCAAAGAGGTCGAGTTTGAGGGCTTGTTGAGGGGTGATGGCAACCGGAAGACGAAAGTTATCACTCTTGGATCGAAGGAAACGCATACTACAACGATCGGCTCCCCGAGTGAAGTCGAACCTCCTCCTCCTATGTTGCAATCGCTGAGTCATCAGTCCTCCACCAGAAGTGACGATTCCTCTTTGACCGCGAGCACGGTCGGGGGTACACCCTCAAATAGGCGCCGGTTTCGATTAGGCGGTTCGGGGACTCCCACGAATGGTGGCTCTGTTATGGGACGAAAGTCGCTTATTGGCGGCCTTCCTCCTGCTGAGTACAGCAGTGTGGATTTTGAGACACGTCTGGCGAGCCTCGATGGGGAAGACGTATACGAGGACTACCCGCCTGTAGACGGTATGCCAAAGAAACGCGAAGTTGCTGACGATGCGTGGGTGGACATCTTGGTCGGGAGTCAAGAACGGCGTATGGCTGGCCAGGAGTATGGTGGGCGAGGGAAGGACAGAGGAGAGGATGTTGATCTCGTCAGTCTCGAAGTGCAGAAGGCGCTTAAGGGCGTCAGAAAGATGAGCCAGAGCCCGGAGAGCCAGCGAACGGAGAAAGTTCCTGTAAGGGATGAAGAGGAGGAGTCTATTGAAGTCGAGAGGGTTCCCTCGAGGCTGGCTATGAATGACTATGTCGACGACCCTCGACATCCGCAGTACTATGACGATTCGCTGGATTATGATGCAGATGGCCCTTCGATGACTGAACAGTCAATTCAATCGCTCCATTACGATCAACATGAGTCCGAGGATGACGAACCAGAGCCAGTGTTGGAGGCAGAGGAGGAGAAAGAGGAACCGCCACCCCGACCTATACCGCCCAAACGACCAGGATACTTTGACCTTCATCCGGAACGACGACCTGTAGCGAATCTCAATGGCGACGGCGAGGACCCTCGAGCTAGGTTTGGGCACGATAGCGATTCTGAAGACGAACTCCTAGGGCCAGGTGTTCGGCCGCTCCCCAGAGTTCCGCCCATTATCAACCTCGATGAGCAGCCCTCACCCTCGACTGCGCCGTTGAAGGTTCCCAACAAGACTGCTGCGTTGATTGAGATGTACCGAGAGCGGGAGCGGAATGGGGCCTCGCAGGTTACTCCTCCGAGGGTGTTGCCTACTCCCGTGGTCGCGCCGCCGAAGATTGTTACGATACCAGCGCAGGAGGAGGCGGAAGAGGAGAAGGAGGAGGAAGTACCGCCACCGCCACGTGTACCTATTATTGATGAAGATCAGGGCCGCGCGAGTCCGGGGCGGTATGTGCATGGTGCCCCATTGCATAACGTATTGGAGGAAGAAGAGGAAGAGTAGATTTTGGTGGTGGTGCGTGGAATTATATGTGTCCCTCCCCTTTTGTTTCGATTGTTTCTTTATGCTTGCTCCCTCATTTTTTTTTCACTTATTATACCCCCCCTCCCCCTCATATACAACACTCTCACACACACATACTCAGGAATTCCGCCTCCGGTTACAAGGAGCCGGACTCTGAATTTATATGTATATCCACCGAGTCACTCGTTACTACCTAGTCCGTTTCTTTTTTTTTGGTTTATTCCATCCATTATCATGATCATTACTATCTTTCAATCCATATGTTAGTCCTTCCGTATTGACTTGGCTCTTTTTTCGTTAATCTGGGCATTATGTCGATTTAACGAGGTTGAATTCAAGTTGTTAAATAGATGAGGGTGGTACCCTAGCCGGAACCGGTGTTCCGTTCCGATAGCCGAGATGTAAATGTATTAGAATGCATTAATCGAGAGAATTTCATTCAAGAGGGTGCACAGTGAAGGCAAGTACATAACGTAGGGATGATAGAATCTTCCTGTCGAACGGTACCTAGGATTCATGAAAACCGCGTAATAAGTAAAAGGGATCTTTCAATGCGTCTAACGCCGATTCTGATAGTTTGCCATGCAGACAATCCCTAGACCGCGAGTACCATATGCCAAAATCTAGAATTCACGCGATCTTTGAAGGAACAATCAAGCCCTGCTCGGTAGGAGTGCAGATCTCTGGAGCGGCGACAGAACGCAACCAGAAGAGCTTTCTTTTCCGAAGTCGGTAGGCGTTGGGGGAATCCGAGAGGGAGGAAGATGGAGAAAGAGCAATATGCTGGAATAGATGTTATCATTCTTGTTTATCGGATCGCATGGACAACGCGGTGGTATGGTAGCCGACATCGTTCGCGATTGATCAGAAGGATCTGCTCTCGCGTACCCAAGCGATGATGGTGATGGTGATCATTGATCTCCAGCTGGAGAGACCCGTAGGGTTCGGGCCCGGACATTGCAGGGTACATAACCATCAGCCCTCTGGACGGGAACAAAGATATACATGATTGTTGCGATGGTGGTTGTTTATCGGCGGAGATGTTGGAAGGAAGCGTTTTGTTGGCGATATGAGAGTGTATGATGCGTTTCACAGCACGAAGTCTTGCCGGTTGGGATAACGCCGACCCAAGTTGCCTACCCGCGGGCATAGAGCGGAGATGTTAAATAGACTACGAGGCGATGATAAGAGGAAGCATTGTAGAAGAGCAAAAGAGGGAGTCATCCTGGAACAGGAATCTCGCGCGACGTTTGGAAGACAACGAAAATTTGGAGATGAGAGCTATGTTTTCGATGTCCGTAGTAAAACGCGATCCGTTCGAGACTATCCAACTCAAAGAATGATGAGGGTCGATCGGTGCAGTCCCTGGTTATGGATCCCGGTATCAGAAGGGTCAAAGGGCTGAAAAGAGCTGGGACGCGTGTACGAGGTCCAACATCGCGTCAGCTTCTTGACAAGATTATGAATTCTTCCTGGCATCGCTGTTCACTAAAAGATCAACGTAGAAAATTGGATGTGGGAATCCACACTTATGCAATTTGCACCGAAAAACATGCCCAACAATGCTGTGGTGCAATACAGAACACCTTGTACTAGATTCGGGCTGGAATTACACGGCTCTCCGTTAGCGGTGACAGGAAAAAGGATTAGGACACGGTAGAGGGCGCTGGCGAAGTCTAAACAAGCTGGGTACTGCAGCAGGCCGAAACGAACTCTGATCACGGCGTTTCCCGGGCCCGAAGTTCGTTTTTCTCGGTTATTTCCGTTCTCATTCCCCGCTCACCAAGTAGCTCAACGTACCTAGTTGTTCTTGTCTTCGGCCTTTGTTGAGGACATTCGTGATCAAATAACGTGTCGTGTGGCCTAATTAGTACGTGCAGCGTCACTATGAATCACAATAAATCACAATTAGGGAGCTAATAATCCAGACCCAGTGCAATCTTGACCTCTTTGATTCGTAGAACGCGATTTCTCCATTGGGCTACTCGCAATGACGACGTATGCAACGTAATTTAAAGCTATATCCCTTGCCGCCAATAGAAACTTGCTTCTACGACTACTTGCGCGCGCCTTCTAGGTGGAAGACCGTCGCGCTCTTCTTCATGAGCAGCGTGAATATAATGCTAACAATACCTTGTGACCGCGCTCGACCAAACTATTCCTTCTGTGATATCTCGAGAGACACCTATCGCTGCGGATTATCTCGGCTTTTATAGGGCAGTAATCTAAAGACTAATTTACGTGTGTTGAGTTCCCTTAACTGCACACGGCTCGACCACTTATTTCAAAGGAACAATAGATGAGGTATACAAATCAAATATCTACCAAATACCACCCAGAAATAAAGTTCCTTTGTGACAACACCGTCCATATGCGACTAATCTGGGAGGCGAGAAGGCAAAACATTGAAATGGATTATCAAGGAACAATGTTAACAATGAAAGTGACTTTGCTGACATAGGGTCGCCTGGCGTCAGTGGCCACTAGCCAAAATCCTATTAAACGCTGGAGACTAACGCTAGGTGTTCCATCGTTCCTTCTCTCCCCGTCAAGCCTCAAGAGCTCAACGTCAACATCGACCTTCTATCTCAATATTTCCACAAAATGTCTACTAATTACGGTGACCGGGCCGTCTTCTTTTCGTGAGTTATACTATTTGGCCTACTTCGCGTCAGATGAAACTCATATTCTTCGCAGAACTTATCCTGATGTTCCAGCCGGAACTGATGCCATCGAGGGCGGTGACGCGTAGTAAGTTTTGAACACCTTCGTCGTCGATTTTGCTCATGCATTCGCTTTCTAGTGGTCTCAACCCTGAGACACAGACAGGGTCTGGTCTCTCGTTGCCACTGTGGTGCAGCCATCTGTAAGATGATTCCCTGGAAGTCGATCTCGCGGCTGATTTATTATTTTAGCTTCCCAGGATTGGATACGCCTTCTCAAGAAGGGTTGGATGACACTATTCCTTCATTCGATCCAGACCATTTCTTGTTCGACTTTACCGAGGATTCCTTCGTGTCACCCGTCGACACTCTTCTTCCCGAACCCCCGGTTTACGACAACTTCAAGGATACAACAAGTCAGGAGAACGATACCACCGAGGATGCGCTTGCCACTTGCCCGCCGATTTTGCAACAAGAGTTCATACCCAATCCCGCGACCATGCTGGCGACTCCTCCTGTGACTCCGCAGCGGCGACAGACTAGCAAGTCTCCCAAGAGCAATCGTTTCGAACCTTATAACCTTCGGCATCGCCCCAGCACCACAAAAAGCGAGAAAAGGTTACCTACCATTACATAAGGTGACTTCGGATATAAACCGAAATAAAGAAAAGGCAGGTTCATATACCTAAGTAAACGAGCCACGGGTTTATTTTGGGATACTTCTTGTTTTAATCCTCTCAGTCGGGTTTGTAAGAAGATGTAACCATTAGAAATATTAGTCCAGATTTATTTAGGTTTGTAAATACTTTACAATCAGGTCGTAGAGGAGCATGACAAAACTTGCAGAGTTGTAGACTTGCAGCAAAAAGAAGGATGACAGATGTATTCTAGACACAGAGATTCATAAGAAGATAATTTTGTTGTAAATATATACCTCTGGATAGGTGATTGCACTGACTTTCAGAGCAGGAAGTGTAATGCTACATGTTCCCCGCGGCGACAGTGGTGCAAGAACAAGTTTCCAAAATCAGCATCAACATGTCACACGAACGTGACAGAGCGCGTTGATTGATTCCGGCTGATTCTTGCTCTTCTTTCTTCCCACCACCATCTTTCCCTGCCACACCCCAACCCACGTTTTACGGTCCTTCGCATGTGAAGCCATTGAAAAAGCTACTGCTATGCAGCAAACCTTCAAGCATGTCCAAGAATGCATCGAAGAACACCGAGCATTGCCAGCTTCCCCAACCGCCAGCTAGGAAATGGTTTCCGACTCCATTAACTTCAGATCCGAAGATAACGAAGTCGACGATGAGGTCAAGATGGAGGAAGACAATGATGATGAGGGATTTGGCAGTGCCCATGGTTTGTCCGATGGTGAGCACAATCATTCTCTCATTCACATGAAGGCCATGGCGATGCCGAGAACATGATAGCTGTGCTCAAGGACAAAGGTGTGTCTCCCGCTTTCTCTGTAGTGCACCTTTGACAAGGTTTTTTCGTACCTGCAGACAACAGAGGGAGTCAAGTGACGCTCTTTCTGATTGGAGGCGCTCTTGGCTTCAGCTTCGATTCTCTTGCCGAAACCGCATCAAGCATGCCCACCAGCCCTCCCCAGGAAGCGCTGAACGATGAAGTGAGTAAATTTGAAAGCATATATGCGCATATACTCTGACTTTTATGCTTACCAAGCAGCAGTTCTTGCTCAACGTCGGAGTCTGCTTCATGGTCAGCAAATAAGTTTTCTTGCTTTTTTATCGGCCATTCCACTGATTTCACTCTTTAGTCAAATTTGTGTTCATCCTAATGGATATCCGGATACCGATCACGACAAGTGTGCAAGATGTTCCTTCGCCTGAGAGCCCCGCCATAAAGATGACTGCCCTTTGCAAGACTGCGGCTGAAGTCTACGCCGATGATGCTATGATATTCGGCTGCGTCTTTATGCTCTTATGTGACTTGCGCGTTTCTGTAAGTTTATTCTGCCGTTCCTGACCTTATATTTCACTTGTTTCACAGGTTTACCTTGCAATGCCTTGAATGTGTGGTCGTGCTCCGTACCCAGCCTCCAATCACTTTGTATTAGTGTATTTAATATATTTGTGTTGATTGAATACCTATTACCGGTGATTTGAGAGCAATGCCTACTATTGAGCTGCTGGCTAGTGCTGAATATGCTATCTATACGAGGGTAACCAGTAGTAAAATCTTTACTAATTATTCTAGGCTGCCTAAACTCTTATCAAGTGATATTAACTTGATGCTAATGCAGGTCAGGTCGTAAAGGGATACGCTCGTTTATCAGGTTTATATGTGATTATATCCAGGCATATATACTTCTTATGATAAAATTGAGTTACGTCACACATCTTTATAACCAAGCCTATCGTTGAGATCGTTTATTATGTGTTAGGTGGATTAAACAGCTTTCTTACAAGTAATTTTGGTCTGTTCATAGTTGTAAGTGTTGACCGTTTTCTGTGGTGGCCACCAGGAAAAGTGTACTTGTCAAGGATTCTTCTCCGCCGACTCCGCATACGTCCCCGTAAGTGCTACGATGATGACGTCTCATGAAGTACCTGACAATATCGTCTAGATCTCCCACTCGTCGCTCCAAGCCTCGTTCTCAGAAGTCCGCGAATTCTCCCACTGTCGCCAAGACCGAAAATGCGGCTGAAAACACCGCTTCCACCCACTCGTAAGTCGCCAGGTAGTTATTCTGAGTCATTTAATCTGACGAGATCTTCAGTTCTGGATCCTCGTCAGCTTCCACGACAGTCAAGCCGATGCCCGTCCCGTTACCGTGGTGCGTTTCACATTGTCCAATGGCTATCCTCTTTTCTTATTTACATCCCTGCAGTCCGAGAACCTGCTACCAAGACGAGTTTTCTCCCGAGCTTGTACACGAAATCTCGGAGAAATATGGCCTACCACCAGACCGTATTTTCTATTATAGACGCAAGAGAGATTACGGCTATCACCGTTGTCCCCTGCGCTGCGGACGTAGCACCATGGGTACTGCTATGGGGAAGCATCTACAGGTGTACCACCCGGGTATTGATCGCACCACGGTGACATGCTCCGTTCGGTCTCGCAAGGGAAAGCATTGTTTGGGCGAACCCGTGGATGGCGCAACGTATCTTCAGCACTTTGAACACGATCACTTCTTGCACCACTCAGTATGTGCGTTCTGTTTGTTCGCTGTGCCAGTGTCGAGGATGAAGAAACACTTTGATGTCTGTCCGGGTTTCCTTTACCAGGGGGAGAGGCGCAGGCTATTCTGGGACGACGGTAACTGAAAGCTCCAAAATAGGTATAATGCATGGTTCATTTCCCATATTTCTCTGTGTGTTCATCTCATTGTCACTCATTCATTCATTCATTTTTGTCTTTCCCATTTTCGTCTCCTCGACACAATCCTTTTAAACATACAGTTGTCACTCTTTTATGATCACTGCTCTATTTTTCCTTGGAATTAAACCTTTCTTTCCCGGCGATTGTTTTCCGCTCAGTGATTCAGTTTTATCACAAGGACGGCCTTAATCCTGAAGGTATGACAAGCATCGAGTCAAAGGATCCTCTTACCGAATCACTCATTCTCCAAACGTTTGCCGCCCAGACCAAACTATTGGACTAGCACCATGTGGTCTATCATTATTAGTAGGGAATCGTGTTCAATGGATCCCTCATCAATATCGATAGAAACTGGGTGGGATGGACCGCAGGTATCACGCAACATTTAACTATTGGTATCTATTGAAACATTGTTCGTCCACTAGTAGCTGAAGTCCCCGGTTGTCAGATAATTATTTGTATTTTCTTACCTTTTCGGCCCAATGTTGCAATGCCACTGCCACCTTTGACGATTTAACACCAGGTGGCATATTTATTCCCTCGCATATATATAGATATCTCTTTCCCCCATTCCCCCTACCTCAAACATGTCCAACAACGACGAACTTCTTGTGGAGGCTCTAAGGTTTGTACCTATTTTTGTTTCCGCCTACAACTTTAGCCTGACCTGCGCACCCCTAGAGGCCTAGAATTAACGGCGGAAGAGTGGCAAGCGATCTCAGATGCGTGCGTTGTTCTTCTACGCTCCCACCCTGTGCACTCACGTGTGCTGATTCTTTTTGTAGCTGTGATGAATGCATCAAGGCGGGCGAGCTCCCCGATTTGCCTGTAGCACAAAGAGGTCCTCCAACGATAGCTTTCATCCTCAACAGCCCAACTCTTCGAAAAGACAAGAGGGTAACCGCAAAGCTCAAGAATCATCTCTTGAACGCATATAATGACAACAAACCGACTACAATGAAGAATGGAGGATCCGCAGTAAAGTCGTACTTCCGCCGTACTGTCAGATAATTCACTTGGCGTTAATGTATTTTGATATCTTCTCCCTGGTCGTCTATAGTCTCTTAAGTCACAGACTCACTGCGGACAAATCACGTTGATTTTTTCGTGTTCTATGAGCATAATTAATCATTCATAACGTATTTCATAACTTAACCACACCGTCCTATATAATGAATCACCTCTCTCGAAAATCGATGAATATTGGCTGGGGAAATTTCTGCTTCATCGGAAATGTGTAAAGGTTCGGCAAGTGGCGACGCTCCATCATGATAAAAATTCATGGGCAATGAATTTTAATGTCAAATCGAAACCTGCTTGAGCTCGCTTGTCTTTTCTGAACTCATCCAAGTTCTTGTCTCTTGAAAGAGGTCTACAGACGATCCCGAAGAGACGATCAGAAGCTGAGTACAACTGCGGATGTGAATCATCCGATCAGGCACCCAAGCTGTGCTGCACTCACATTTTTGCATATTTTGGCACTGCATGATCCTGTTTGAATCCTGTGGTAAGATAAGATAACTTATATTAGAAGAATTCTTGGTGGCGGTAATTCTTATTGTGTCAAAAATTATTGTTCTTAGTACCGCCACGAGTTCCTGCCAATATCGATGAATGATGCCTTTGTCTGGCTTGGAAATTATGCAAAGGTCAAGAGTATCCATGCCACAGTATCGGTGAGGTATATAAGGTACACTCTGCGCACCAAGTCCAATCCCCAGTACCATTACCATGTCGGACCACAAAGAGTTCCTCGTCGAAGCTTTGAAGTGCGTACTGATCTACTTCCCAGTGGCTTAAATTTGAGCCTGACTGTTTTACTTTAGGGATCTAAAGTTAACGCCGGACGAATGGACGGCTATCTCAAAAGCGTGAGTTATCCCATTCTGCTTTCGTTTCTGCTTTGATAACACTTGCCTCATTTCTAGGTGCGACCAATGTCTGGCCCCACCGTCCAATAGAGGCCTCCCTCCAATGTCATTCGTGTTGAATAGTCCGGCATTCAAGTCCAACCCTGCAGCGGCTGAAGCTCTCAAAAAGATTCTTCTCGAGTGCCAAACATCGGATAAACCAATAGAATTTCCGAATATTGACCGTGCTTTGAAGTCGTACTATCGGTGAAGAGATTGTATGGTATTCCTCTCTTTCCCGACTTTTTTTGGTCCGACTGACCCTCTTTGGATAGAAATAAATTCGAAATCGGTTGCACTTTCCTTGTACTCTTATGACATGAATGCTAGTATGTTGAAAAAAAATTTGTACTGCTTCGTGGCAGTAATAGCTACTGCTTGGTACATGTTTGGCGAGTAACTCAAGCACAGTGTAAGTTACAGCAGTATCTTTCGTAAAGTATAGATTCATATTACGCAAATAATTTTATCTGATAGCTGTCAGATCTCTCTGGGTATCGCATCTTTGGGCGCTGGGAAAGTCTCCTGCTACTTCTCGTCATCATGTCCAGGATCGTGTTCCAAATGGTGGCGCTTTCCATCTCTCACACGATATATCATCGTTCAATTAGTATTATAATAAACAATCCTTCCATTGTCTATAACTAGCATAGGCTATAGTCGTACTCCTACATACTTTATAAATGTGAAAACTACTTCCTTTGAAGTTTGAAGTACTGAAAGCGCAGTGGGAAAGTAACCGAAAAGAAAAGGCATACAGAACCGTAACTCCCTTACTCGTACATTCATAAAACCAATTACACTTCGTATCAAAATCTCATCGCCTCTCGCCTCAAGCGATGGTTACAATGGGAGCGTGGAGCGGGACATCTGCGCCGACAGGATAGTCCGGATTGAATGTAACGCTTGCGCCAGGCCGAAATATGAGGCAATGTGTAGATCCGCCAAAGTGGAACATCCCCATCTCGTCACCCTTCTTGAGCACCTGGCCTTCCTTAACGGTGATCTCACACGTCGACACCTCTGCCATTCCCACAGCTACAAAGCACATCAAACCGATGCCCCGGTTATCGGCTTGAATAAAGATGAGCGAACGAGCGGCTATAGCAGTGATGAAGCCTTGCGAAAGGTCGGGAGCGCCAGGGTCTGGGTTCGGGAATCCCATGGCGGGAGACTCAGCGTAGTATGTACCTGGGATCATGACGGTCTTTGTGACTGTACCGTTCACTGGACTGTGCCAGCGATGGTATTTGGTGGCGCTGAGGAAAGCTTGATAGACGGTCCCGCCGACGAATTGGGGTACAAAGGGGTCGTTGTTGAGCATATGGTTAAGTGAATACGGTTCGCCTTTAAGCCAGAACGTGTCAAGCGCTTTAATGTTGGATGCCGTCTTGTAAACGGTGGACTCGCAAGCACTGATGACGATGCGGTCATCATCGGGGAACATGACGGGGTGGACGCCAGGTTGGAAGAGCCTGGTGAAGAAATCGTCCCAGGACCTGAATCCGTAATATTGCGCGGTGGGATCGCACACGTATGTCTGTGCAAAATTGGGCATCGCTTCACTAGCGTTGGGGCCAAACCATCCGGTCGTGTCGGTGGTGAGGACATAGCGGGAGGCGGATGAAGTGAGAAAGGCTGCCCAGACGTCGAACATCTTCTTGAACTGAGCGTTCACTTTGTCGTTGGAGAAAGCGGAGAGGCCCGCGGGTGTGCCCATAGGCCAATCGAGGATAGCGTTGATTGGGAATCCGACCAAGCCAACATCGTAACTGGCTTCTTCGAAGTCGGGGGCTTCGGTGATGACTTGATTGAACAAAGCTAACATGTTCATATAATCGCGAACCTGGGAAAGAAGACCCGAAAAATGTTAGTCGCACAAATGCGAGAAATTCCAAAATCGTCGGCACGTACCTGTGGTTTCCCTGTCGGATCTTTATCGTAAGGCGGCTTGGTTGGTACTTGATTGAACATTTGATGGAAATCCATATAAATATCGGCGTTGCTTTCTATAAGGTTTTGGAACTCTTGGATGACGGGCTGGAAAGGCTGTGGGTTTGCATCGACTTGGGCAATCTTTTTGGCCAGCCAGCGTTGAAGAATTCGATGATCGCGGGGAAGCCAACCGCCAATTCGATGACGAACGAGGATGGACATGTCGTTCTAGAAGGATTTAGAGTTAGCCAACGTATGTTAAGCCAGGAGAATATACGACCAACGAGAAATGAGATTTACTGTGGCGACAATAGAAAAGAAGGTGAAGCTTGAAGATCGAGTCTATTGAGCGTCCGAGCGTCTTCATATATATACAAGGAAGATCATATCTAATCTAGATAATAGTTAGTGAATATAGAACGGATGGACGGAGTCAATCAGAAGCACGTTCCGCATCTCCACACCCCCGTCGTCAAACAAAGCTCTAGATGTTGCTAGTTATACGCTTGTACGTCAATGCAATACGGTTGGGAGACAAATTCAGTAATTGAATAGCAGAATGTATTCCACGCCGAAATGAATTTACCGGGCGTATTCTTCGACCATAAGACATGCGCAAACCCACCAGCGAAGTTGTATTTGAAATGATCCAAAGAATAGAAATCTTTCGTCACGATCTCCAAAAAATTCCTACAAACAAGGAATGAGAACCACACTTTGCGATAAATCGAGAAGTCATATACCTGCAACCAGGAATGAGAGTTGACCTTGTAAGCACGCAATGTCGACGGGATGTTAGGGAAAACATCGGGGAGTCTTAAGCGCTTTATCACTCCACAAGTCGATTCCTATCGCCGCTTCTATTTCTCAATCCTTAGTGCATCCTTGAACGCCCAAGACTCAAAGCTCTACGGGTTGCCTTGCGATGACTACGCACTCAATTCGTTAAGGAAGTACAGCGAAATGGTCTGTCGCCATAGATTCAGTCGCATATAGAGCGGAATCGGAAGCAGTGAACATACAGCACATGCTATATCAACAGGGTACGACAGCTTTAATGGAACCTCCCAGTAAAGTTACGGTTTGAACCCCTCCGCAGAATATCGAAACTGCGCATGTCACGTAGAGCTAGGAGAAGGTCAACTGACTCCATTCAAGCTAGAATGCGGACAGCGTACCAGTTCTATCTTTCCATGCATTTTGTAAAAACGAAGGAAGAGTGACATTGGCACTGCTGCCGCCCCTACTTGTTTAACAGATTTGCTAGCACACGACGTAATGCTAGACTAGCGACTTCTGGCCACACAGAAGTCGCTTTATTGCCATTGGATGCCACATAATAAATATACGATGATCCTGTGACAACAGAATTGATAAGTTCCATCCGAATTGTGAGAGGGAAGACACGCACATCCTACAGACCCCGAGTGCTTACCCGCTGATTCATCTCAATATTTGTGACGGAAAATTCGAGGTATATCGGCGTACAGAAGATGACTATTGGTGACATTGCCCAATGGTTTTTGGCCGATTCCAGGACGTGTAAACAAGTCAGAGCACGGACTGATGTCATGGTGCGAAGTAGCCAGCATTGGAACGAGAATGGTATTGGCGGATAATTCAGGTTGAGAAATGCGGCTGAGAAAAAGCCGTTTACGGGTTCAGCTAGGACATTCCCTAGAGTTTCTTGTTAGCGCATAACGGGCAGAGAAAGAGAGTCATGAGTCACTTGATCCAGTCCTACGGTACACCAAGATGTATGTGTTATCGTGGTCCCACCCAAACTTCTCTTCTCGCACCCCAGGTACGCTGTCCTAGTGGACAAAGCGATCAGACCCAATGACCAGAGATTCAGTCACATTCAGGGCGCTACTAGAAGCAGCAGACATGCGTTGTATATAGATGGCACATATATAACGTCGTGGATCACTTGACAGCTTTCATGGAAGTTTCCTGGGTCCAACAAGGGTTCGCAGCTACGGAACTAGTAACCAGGAGTTGTCCACCGCATTTGATCACAAAGAGTGAGGCGACATACTGGGGTTATTACCCTCATACCATTCGTAAACATCCGCAGCGATAGGCTCATGAATCAAGAAATTGGCTATGCAGCATATTTCCATTCTTCTCCATACTGAGGCATACAGAACCATACTCCATGATTTTCGAAGAGCATGGAAAGCATGCTAGTGCTGATAGGATCAGGAGAGGGGTTGTAAGAGCAACTTTGTAGATTATTTTTTTCCCTGAGAAAACTTCATGTCTGCGTCGGAAAGGTGCATAGTATGAAAAAAGGATGATCCTGAACATTATAACGACGAACGTCGACGATATACACGTGCGGTCTCTCGTCACCGTGAGAGTAGCTCGTCGATGGACCGTTTAGACTGGCGGCGACATAGTTCGATGGAGAGTGTGCGTTTGATTGAGGACGGAGTAGCGGTTGAGCAATGAGGTAACTGAAAAAATGAAAGCCGGTTCAGACCGGATCAAATTATTGAAATTAGACACTGTTCCGGATTTTTGCCGGATCCTTGTGCCGGTACCAACAACTTGAAGGGCACCTAACCAATTGATATATCAAAGACTGGTCGATATACACGGCCGTGATATATCGAATTTGGAGCAGCGAGCGACTTCGAACAAGATCTGAGATCCTTGACACGATCCAAGTTGTTTGTGGAGCCTGTCGGCAGTCATCGGCTTCCCCAAGGCACAGAGCAGGGGAGCTCAGCGTCGCAGACGACGAGCTAGACTGATTTGATCGCTAGGTGTCAAATGCATCCTTTTTGGCGTTGTTACGGCAGACCATATATCGAACACTCACGGTACGACTAGGCGATTGATATATCCACGGTTTACGGTATGCGGCAGTCGTTGATATATCGGTCTGCGAGGTACAGGTGCAGTTTCACTGTCCAGACCCCATACATGTCCTCCCGCTAATTTTCTCTTTACACCAGGGACGTTATTTCCAAATTATTTATGCTCTCAGCGGAGTTCAAGTGGGGTATCCTCCACTCTCCTTCACTCCACCTCAGCCAAATGGCTACCGGCGATGTAATAAAGAAGTTGTATTCAAAATGCACCGCGCACGGAGCGCGTTGAACACGCGCGTTTTGCTATCTTGAGTACATAATGTTATTACTATGCTTACTACGACCAAGTCATCGGGTTATACCGCTGTATTGTCCTCAAGCGACTGGTCTTCTCATTCGGATCCCGCGAACGGTCAAATTCATGGCGAACCATATCCATGGGCGCCGCCTTCCGGTTCACGATCGACCATTCTGACCTTTGGCCGGCAATGAAGCCGTTCCGGGCCGGTCCTTTGTCGGTCGAGTCCTATTTTGGAAGTTGACTTCAACCACCATCATGCCCCTTGAAGATGAATTACACCGCAAGCGGCGGGAACGATATCGGCTGTAGGTCCCTCCTTTCACCCAAAATTCCTATTCCTGAATTTTTAAAAACAGTTGTCAAGAGGCAAAAAAACAGAAAGCAGGTTTTCAAATCAATACTCTCACGCCCGCAACATATGAAGAAAAAACGCGACAGAAGCAACAGAATGCACGGTATCCAGCAGATCCTTCGTATGTACTTTTCATAATTGTCTACAACTCGCGTAGACGCATCGATCTCGTCTCATACTATCTCTAGGTGTCTTCCATCAGGGCAATCATCATTACCTCTTTCTCGGGTAATACTATCTCCACTAGGTCAATCTGTAATACAGCCTTTACCTTTTCCTGCATCTGCATCATCCCTCCCGGCACCTTCGCAGTCTACGGTCGCTTTTCCACTGGAATCCTCTCAAACTCCTGCTGGATTAATCACCGCACAGACTGTCGCTCCTTCATTGACGAATGAAATTCGCGTTTGGGTCCAAATGATGCAAGAATTGCTAGTCGTATTGGGTTCTTCTTCGGAAGACATGCCGGAGAACTTGATTGAATACGCCTACCGCTACATCGCCAGCTTGAACGGGTTCAATGTTTCGGAATACATAGCCTTTCAGCGCACTCGCATGGCATTTTTCCCTGTGCTCGCATACGGAATGTTCATTAAAAGAGTCATTGAGGCGTCTGGGACATCGTCGCCATCCATCTATAATTTTTTAGGAGCCCTCTCCTTAGCTCGAGCGTCCTACATACCTTTTGAAAGGCACTTAACCGGATGGTGGTCCAGGTTCCCTGATCAAGTTAGATCGGTCCTCTATGATGTAAGGTGCAGATATCAAAACAAAAATTACCCTTCTCATGTACCCCTTTCTAGTTCACTGGTCCTGGGTGCTTCGATGCCGGTCCGTGCACAAAGCAGGATATCCAGCGTCTCGCTCCCGGAGGCTGGATCAACGACGAGATTATTAATCGTCTTCTTGATCTGTGGAACATGTCTGTGCGACACGATGTCATTATCTTGGACACGTTCTTTGCTTCCAAATTTCTCTTTCAGAAAGACAGGACAACTCCGAAATCTGCATTATCTGACAACGACATTACTCGAATACTTTGGTGGCATAAAATAAAGGTATTTAACATCCGTTTTCTTGTGTTGATGCTTGAAAAAGCGTTTCAGGTTGCCCTCCACATTGTAGACGCCTGGCGCCGAATCATTTTGCCCGTCAATATTGCCAATGAACACTGGATAGTCGCTTGTATAGATATTTGCGATAGGACAATCTCCGTATACGACAGTTTGCCCGCTGTCGGTGATAATGACACAACGATATCGACTGAAGCCGCGCTAATAAAGGTATGACGCTCGATCAATGTGCGGACTGTACTCACTGTTCAGCATGTAGATTCTCAAGGCCATGATCGATGCTATTCGTCAACGATGTAACTGCCCCGCAATCGAATGGGTGCCAGAGAAATCTTTCATACCTCATGCAAACACCGTAAGCATCAGTGATCTCTCTTACACAGGTTACCGATATTTTCGTCAGACTTACTATCAACAAAATACCTCTGATTGCGGCGTCTTCTCCTTGCTATTCATTAGACACCTTGCAAGCGTCGACACCTTTCCGAGTCGAACCATTGGCCTCGTATACCAGTTCCCAGAGAAATTCGAGGATCTGAATGGAATAAGGCTCGAACTTATATATGACTTATGGAAACACAGATAACAGATTGACTGGCTTGTTATCTGTCCCGGTAAGGGATTGAACTATCCGATTTGAGCCACCTTTAATTGTAACGCTAATTGCCAGCACCTAGACTTTTTATCCGCTCGCAGTATCGCTGTTCTGAGCTATGTTGTCCTTTTCAGTTGAAACACTGGAAGAGAATATGTTAAACGGATTTCGGGTCACGGACACTAAAATCCTTTGCCTTAAAGAACCGCGGGTATCTGAGCCTCGTCTTTCCTGAACATGGCCCGAAATTTCTATACATCAAATGTTCACAAATTCGTTTCTACGCGTCCATGAATGTTGCCTTGCACAAAGAGTTTTGAAATTGCGCTGGACGCCGCGGACATCAGATCGCGATACTAATGGCGAAAAAAAGTGGCCCACGTGCTGCGTTACTGATGTAAATTTAGAAACTGGGCGCAACGTTAATAATATTAATAATAATAACTCACGCTAGTCACAAGGGCGGCTTCTGAATCTTCGGTGAAAACGTGTCGAAAGGCAACTTTCACTCCAGACCATCGACGAACGGATCGGCTCCTTCCAGGCTTCCACCTCCCATCGTTGGCGAACTCGGTAATCTTCACAATGGTAACCCTCAAGCCAAAGCCAGTCGAGTATCGCCAGCTAGGATCGTCCGGCTTACGAGTATCTGTTCCGATCGTGAGCTTTCTCCCAAGTTAGCTTTGTGTAGCAGAGCGCTTATATTACGGATGATAGCTAGGTGCTATGAGCTTCGGGTCCCCGAAATGGCTCGTGAGCACAACCTCCCAAACCCTAGTAACTCGCTCGCTTAGAGGACATTTTAGGATTGGGTTTTAGACGAAGAGCATTCCTTCCCGATTCTGAAGGCTGCATGGGATAGAGGAATCAATACCATCGACACGGCCAATGTCTATTCAAACGGAGAATCAGAACGGATCATCGGTGCATTCATGGAAAAGGTCTGCAGATCTTTGTCAAATACCATTCTCTGGCTAAAACACGGCATCGGGCAGTACCAAGTTCCCCGCCAGGAGATCGTCATCGCTACTAAATGCCACAGAATTGTCGGAAAAGATGCCACAATACGAGGCAAACTCTCCGGCCATCTGAAGAAGACGAGGGATTATGTCAATCAGTGGGGACTGTCCAGAGCAGCAATATTCAACGCTGTCGAAGCATCCCTCCCCCGCTTGAAGACGAATTACATCGACTTGCTACAGATTCATAGATATGACGACTTAACACCCCCGGAAGAGACGATGAAAGCACTTCATGATCTCGTTCAGAGTGGAAAGGTCCGATACATTGGCGCGAGTTCTATGCCGGTTTGGAAATTCGCGTTGTTGAACGAAGTTGCGAGGAGAAATGGGTGGACTACTTTCGTGAGCATGCAGTGCGAGTATTCGCTCTTATATCGTGAGGAGGTGAGAATACTTTACGTGATCCTCGTCTTCGCTGACTATATCGATTCCAAGGAGCGGGAAATGTTTGACTATTGCAAGTACCACGGGATCGGGATCATACCATGGGCGCCTGTGGCTGGAGGGTACCTCACACGCTCTGTGGACGAGTCCACAAAACGATCTGAATCCGGGGGATTTCCAAGGCCAAAGTTGACTGATGTCGATAAAATCATCATCGGCCGCGTTGAGGAAGTGGCGAAGCGATGCGGTGCATCTATGGCTCAGATAGCATTGGCTTGGGTTTCGGCCAAGGTGGTCAGCCCGATTGTAGGTATTTCTTCCATAAAGAGGCTGGAAGAAAACGTCGTCGGCGTGGGACGTGAGTTATCCGAAGAGGATATACTGTACCTAGAGGAGGCGTAAGTGTTCTGTTTTGATGTGGATGAACTGGTTGCTAATTGTCTTGCAGATATATTCCGAAACCCGTCCATGGATTCGAATAATAACAATTTTAATGAATAGGAATACATGGGTCAGAACCAATATCCCCTGTGCTATATCCTTATCGCGTCGATTTTTAGAGTGTGCTTTGCAGGTATGGTAAAAATGTGACTTTTTGAATAACACGAGTTTCTGCGAAGTAGTTGACTGCTTGGTATTGATAGAGCGGGAAGCTTACTTGGACATGTCCGCGCTGTCTTTTTGAAACCTTTATACGGCGTGTCTGCACGTGAACATGATTACGCCTTCTTTTGGCGTATTAATTACTTGTTCTGAGACATGTCATTGCACCCTATATTCCTTACCAGTCAGCATATAGGACTATATGATCAGGGATGATATCATTCTCTTCAAATTGTATGTATGACGCGGTCGGTTCACATGCCAATTCTTTATTCGGGCTGAGTGATATCGAAGACGTCACTCCAAGCAACCGGCCAGTCAAGGTTACTGCAAGGAATCATCAGGTTCGCCATCGGTGTTATCTGGAAGTGCATATACTCACTCCGCACGGACGGCCTTCAAGACGTACCGGTACCTGCAAAAGAAAAAAGAAAAACAATTCGCCAAGATTCGCATATACTCATTGCACTTACTCGGTTTCGGGCAACACGGGAAGGGTCACCGTCAGCTTCTCGGGAGTCGGGTCGACGTTTTCTCCCAGGATGCCTTTGAGTCCGAAGGCGGTCTCAGACGCGTTCATCAGGAACAAAGTCCACTCTGGGTCAGAGGGACCGTTTGTCCAGTAGATGTCGGTAACCTGCCCAGAGACCGGGTTGGTAGGTACCTGAACCGTCAGCGCGAGTGCTGCAGCTGGTAGAGATGCGAGTCTGACTCTGTGTTAGACTTCAGTTTTGCTTGTAGTGAATGGGAAGAATGTGCATACACTGAGAGGAACTTCATGATTAGTTGGGCTTCAATCAACGAAATCGAGAGCTTTATAAGGCCCAAGAAGAGACAAGTCTGTCCCTGAAATCAACTAGTTAAGCGCATGTGATGATGCGAGACATGCGAGTCGGAAAATACGTATTAACCTGCCGTAAAATGAAGTCTCTTTCAGTACTTATACTTTCAGATGAAGAGCAAATTTTTATGCGTTATACTAAACTCAGCACATCAAATAGCCAAGGAAGCTGAACGAAAGCACGAAAAGGAGCACCCCATAGCAGTTATGTTGAATATCTCTATGATTGCTTGAGATCTCACACAGGGCACAATCGACCGTCCCAGGGAGCGCGAATCGAGCTGTTGCTATGCAGAAGCTGTGTCGGGGACGAAGTGGTGTTACAGCATCGGACCTGCCAAGCTTCAACACAAGCACCACCAGAGAAAGTTACCGAGTGGAGAGATTGCTTCGAAACTGTGTGGAGCCGGACGTTGAGGCTTGCCGCTGGCCGGTTCGATTCAGCAGCGCTTTAACATCGGATTTATTCTTGATATAGATCTAAACGTCATTTTGACACCATGTGTTCTGATGAATTGACCGTGTTCTTCTTGCGCTGCTACTATTAGGAAACTGGAAAAAGCACCTACATAGAATTGGACGCGATAAGACACGTAAAGACGCGTCAAAACGCCGCCTGAAGGAGGTTCACGGCGGTCTGACACGTAAAGACTTGCCCTCAAGGGCAATATTGCTTAGCCGATTTAGGCCGAAATTCATTTCTTCTTCTCGCCCTTTGCCGCGGCCCTGCCAGGAGTAACGCGGGTCCTCAGCTACCCAAGAGAACTGCCTCGAAGGTAGCTTCATTGCACATATAATCAAGCCTCTGTTCCTCCATATGTAAGAGATTGTTCGTTACTTTCTTTATTTTAGATTCATGTCTTTCTTTTGCATGATTAGGCCTGTTATATCATGATGTCACTTTTTACGCCAAACTATGTAGGACTTCCATGACCCGAAATGTTTTGCTACATGCAGACTGCAGTCACAGCAACTGAAACTTTTGTTCATTTCGTCGAACTCGACCCTGTTTATGCCACATGGTAATGTAAGGAGATATGTAAGGTGTGTGCAATCTATCATCCTTAGATTGACCCCTGATGCACTCAAGCCTTCAAAAATGTAGCATACCAGACGTCCATGGAACGTACTTGCTTTTTCCCACCAGCCTGCTCATAACTCGCCCGTACTGCATCCCTCATCGACATGATCAGGGACCTCTGCCTGTCATCCTTCACGAAACTATCCAAATCTTTCATAAACCCGTCACCAAGCACAATCTGCACCTCCCACAGGCCATCCAATACGTTATCGGCAGGGATTAGTGTCGATGACCTCTCAAGTTTGAGCCCAGCCACGGTGGCGCTCGCCTCGAGGACTGCCGGAGAAAATAGAGTACGAATGTTGGCCGACGAAGACAGGTTATGGTACTGCAATGCCGCCTGAGCGAGAGCAGCAAGAATATGACTCTGCGCTTGGTTGGAGGAGAGGCTCCATTCTGCGATGCAGACTTTACCGACATTGCTCTTGGCCAGCATCGAGAGCATATCGCTGAGGACCTTCGGCGATGCGAAGTACCAGGTGCAGAGCACGAGAACCGCGATGTCGTACTGGCCGTCATGATTTTTCAGGAATTCGACGGGATCGGCGTGCTTCCAGGTGATCCGTGGACCCAGCACGCTAGACGACAGGTTATCCTGCGCTTGTCCGAGCGTGTAAGGGGATCCTGATTAGAAACCACACTCAGCAATGATAGTCTTTGTAGATAGTAAACGAACCGTAGTCCAACGATCCTGGATCTACCGCGGTGACATGACCGTTTGGACCCACGAGCTCAGCGAGGACAGCAGTGCAATCTCCTTGTCCGAATCCTAGCTCGAGGATTCTTGAGCCTTTGGGGATATCCCACTTGGATAAGATCGCCAGTCGGAGTTCGGTGGATTGGAGTTGCGATTGGAAGTGTTCGGTTCCCATGTGGGAGATTTTGGCGATCTCCGTCGCATCGAGCTTGGCTGTGATTGAGACAACTTCAGGGACTGTTACAGTGGGGTCGAGGGATGTCGAAGAATTGCTACGTATCATTTCAGTGCTGGGTGATTGATATGGATTCCGGAAAATCTAAGACTTGGTCTATTGATATCGTTCACGTCCATCAGATACCTTTATGTATTGTAGCGCTACCGCAGGGCCGAACCCGTGACAAAACTGTATCCTACACGCCGAAATCTTGGCATACCTGTAGTACGGTACTTGATGTTTTCATACTCCTCAGCGAGGCCCTAGAGTATGATGGACATCATAGACAATAACGGTACGAAAATAGGAACAATGACGTTGGTTTGACAGGCATACCTCAGTTACATTCACCTCGTTTCTGCTACCTAACGGATTCTCGGTATATCGGCCAATAATATGCATAAAGGGCCTACAATCCTGCCAGAAGCCGGAATGAAAGCAGTGAAAACATCGCACTGCGTTAGCGAGGTGCGACGAAATGCCTTCTGATAACTTCAGTCTTTGACGTCCCGGAGATTCGCAGCAGCTTGAATGGCTTCACGAGTTAATTGGTACAGGATGTGAAGTCGAGGCCGACGAAGATATCTCTGCTATTCCGAATAGTATCAAATGGGGAGCTTTTTTCGTGTTTTTGAGAGTTATTAGTGAAGAGGTGCATGGTAGTGTGCAGCGAGCGAAGAGGCCATGAGTCGTGACGTGCTTGGGCCATGGGTAAGGCAGGTGTCATGATTGGCTATCATATTACCTGGGGTATCCAGGAGCAACAACGTCGGATTATTGAGAATCACGGTTAATTTTCACTGAGTCCAAGCTGTCGAACGGTATGGGAGTCAAAAGGACTGAGAACGGGTTCTGCAATGGTTCGAAGTCAGTTAAGCATTCCTCGGATAACTGATACAGATTAAGTAATGTGTCAGCCAACAATTCTTTTCAAGTATATCAGGAAACTTGAGAAGATTCGACAATTTGGAGCTGGGAACGAATTGAACATCTTTCTCGAGAAGTAGAACAGTTTCACCGTGGCAAGGAAGAACGGCCCGATGCTCCGTAGCACCTTTAGACGACTCGGCCCGGTGCCATCATGCTTGAAAGAGGAGAATGTTCCCACCCTATTTTTGCTTCCGCGCCACCATTATCACGCACCGCTATTCTTCGCTATGGCTGTTGGAAGACGTGATTCTTCCTTTCCAACCACTATATCCTCAGACTTCTTTCTGAGCGAGAATGTGTCGCGTTAAAACACCCCGGTGCGGACTCCAGGGACCCTCTTGGGAAGAACTGCCACAGTAGCATGTAGAATTGCGCTGAGGTTTCTTTGTCGTATGTTATCCGTCTGTTTGCTGTTTGCTATCGTATAGTAAATTATTTTTTGTCGAATAGGCTACCGGTAGCTGTCCCATCATGCGTTACTCCATTCGAGCCTGGCTGTTCTGGACGCGCATGAAAGTCCAATTATAATTATTGAACCGGCCCGTAGCCATTCAGATATATGCGGGAGAATCTAGAATCTAGTTGTTTTAGATCGTGGATGCATGCCATAGTACGTTGTTGCTGTGGCTTTACGGATCAATGGTATCTTATTCTGACCTCACCAGGACCTCACCAGAGCCATGCAAATTCGCAATACGAAGAGACGCGCGCTGATATTGTGAAATTATGCGCCAAGATACTCTACCGGCCATGTCAAGATCAGTAAAGCCCTTGTATGCCTAGATGACTATGGTACGGCGCAGCTATCCTGGCTCACGATCCTTTGAAGTCCTACTGACGGTTGTGGTGACGCAGGCTTCTCTTCTCCATCTGCGTCTACGTAGCAGTGTCATTCACTACACTCCGGCACTTGGTTCCTAAGCATCCGAACAACTGTATGGTCCACTCATCATTCTCCGCACGCCTGCTTCCAGCAAGTATATGTTCCATTTCTTGGTTCAGGGCCATCGGTCTATGTAGCCATGAGGCATGAAATGTCAGTTAGCGACTCGGAGTAGGTCTCCATAACAACTTAACGATTATCATCTTACAGGAGCCGCCTCCGATCAGTGTAGCGCACCCTGAAGTCTTCGTGGGTGGTCGAACAGTGCGTGGGCACCAAGAAAACCACAATCAAATTTACTCGTCGTTCGGTGCTGTCTTCATGGGCTACTGCTGTACGTTGATTATGAGTATTTTCTACTGGCACCAGCTCACGCACTAGAAAACAGTTTCGTTGTCTGTCTTCAAACGCAATCATTGGCCCGTTTCATTCTTGCCAGTTACAACCCTGAGTATGTATTCCGGTGAGCATCGTCTCTTACTTTTGGTGCCAACGTACTAATAAGCTGTAGTGAGCAAACACAATGAGAATCTCTTGGCGCAGGTGAAAGACTTAACTCAGTTTCTCGCCGGCATGGCCGCGTCAGCCCATGTCTTCTACCCGGCCGTTTCAGCAGATCATGCCTATTCGCACGGCACCGTCCACGCACCCTTCGCATAAAAGCTCGCGAGCGGGTTATCGCCATGCATTGCTTACAGACTCAGCTGCAGCTTAATAACGCATTTCTCATATATCCCGGCCAACGTCGTTACGTAGGAAAGAATTGCCTATTTTACCTGGGTCGATATCCCGAGACACTCGGGAATTCACCTGGCGCCCCTAATTTCGAGGATTACTACGCGATTACGGATTAATTTGTCATCGACTCTCGTCTACGAGTATATAAGGCCCCACGATTGTGCATCTCAATCCAACACACCTTCCTCAGCCATGTCTTTCTTTGATATTCCCCCTGCGCCTTCTACGAAGTTAGGCTACTACCGCCTTTTGTCCCCTTTGGCGGGTGTTCGCGTTTCGCCCATCCAGCTGGGTGCGATGAGCATTGGTGACAAATGGGATAAGCTCGGGTTTGGAAGCATGGACAAGGAGTCAAGCTTCAAGCTCCTCGACGCGTATTTTGATATGGGTGGCAACTTCATCGACACCGCCAATAGCTAGTGAGCAATTTCTTTATCTTTCCTTCGACGACGAGCTAATACTTCGTAGCCAGGACGAATCTTCCGAAGAGTTCATTGGAGAATGGGTCGAGAAGCGGGGTATTCGTGACCAGGTGGTCATTGCTACAAAGGTGCGGGCTATTGAAACACGCGCTTGTTCTGCGTGTTCACGATGTTGCAGTACACGATGAACTTCAAGCGCGGGAACGATAACATTCAGCAAAAGGTCAACTACACCGGTAACGGGAACAAATCTCTCAAAATCTCGGTCAAGAGTAGCCTTAGAAAGCTGCGCACCGACTATATCGACATTCTCTACGTGCATTGGTGGGACTATGAGACTTCCATCGAAGAGGTGATGAACAGTCTGCATAATCTTGTCGTCGAGGGGAAGGTTCTCTATCTCGTACGTTTATCTTCTTGCTTTGTTTCCTTGTCATTGTTAACGTATCGTAGGGAATCTCCGATACGCCTGCTTGGGTTGTATCCCGCGCAAATATGTATGCTCAGGTCCATGGAAAGACACCTTTTTCGATCTATCAAGGACACTGGAGTCTTTTGGACCGCTCCTTCGAGCGCGAGATCATTCCCATGGCGCGCACTCTTGGTATGTCATAACGATTCATTGGTCGTTATTATGCTGATAACGAGTTTCTGTAGGTTTGGCGCTGGCCCCATGGGATGTCTTAGGTGGAGGCAAGTTCCGCACGGACGCCGAAGAGGAAGAGAGGAGGCAGTCAGGAGAGAAAGGGCGTGCTGTTGCTGGACTCGGAATTAGCTGGGAGAGGAACGAGGACGAGAAGAAAATCTCAAGGGCACTGGAAAAAGTTGCTGGGGAGGTCGGGGCGAAGAATATTCGATCTGGTGAGCCTGTTTCTTCAAGTTGTTACATGTATTTTACTGATGATGGTGTTAGTGGCCCTGGCGTACGTGATGCAGAAAACGCCGTATGTGTTTCCCCTCATCGGAGGTAGAAAGGTGGAACACTTGGTGTCGAATTTAGAAGCGCTCGATATTACGCTGTCAAAGGAGCAGATTGAGTATTTGGAGAGTATTCTGCCGTTTGACCCTGGTTTCCCGAATGCGATGATTGTAAGTCATTCATGATCACGCTGAAGCAATGACTAACCGGTCATCTAGGGTGACGGATCCAGCTATAATATTTTCCTGGCGTCGACAGCACATATGTCAAAGCAGCCGAGGGTTGAACCAATTAGGCCGTGATGCCGTTTCATGTCGTACTAGGAAGTCGCCATTACGAGCGTCATTTGCTCTAATGAAGAAAAGACTGTTCTTTGCAAGCGCCAATCAGATCCTGTCAGGGTTGCGGGAATGAGGCTCAGGAAGTGACTATCTTGTGACACTCTGTCCCCACTAGTATCCATGCATCTGGCAAAGCAACTAGTACTAGAGGCTTTCCAGCGGTGCGCTACTGGGCTCGGCGCAACCGCATTACCCGCTTCAAGCTTCAAGGCTCAAACACAGTAATTGGTCTGGACTCGATATTTTAGAGCGACTCTGCTTTACACGGGCATAAGGACATACTTCGCCACCGGATTCAGAAATAGATTTACTGCTTTTCATGAGTAGGCCTCGTTCTTCCCTTCTCCACGCCGCTTCTCCCTTTCATAACATGTCGGTCCGGTCCTTTTGATGGAACGCCAATTCAGCCCTGAACTGTGCTCTGTCAAATGTCGTAAGCTAGGCACATCATTCTGGGTGTCACGACACAGGAATCTCATTAATTGCCGGGATCTTCATTGAAAGACAATCCCTTCTCTCTTACCACTTGCAATGATGGACGACGACATTCCCTCCATCATCCAGGACTGGTCTTCGGATGATTCTGAATCAAGCGCAGAAGACGTTGGGAACACCAGAGGGTACCCCGAGTCGCGGCCAAGGTCCCGAGCGTCATTTGCAAAAACCCGAAGAACCTCTCCTTATCCTTACGAAGACATTTCAGAAGCAGAGGACAATGTACCTTCGCGTCAATCGACACCTACGCGCCCTCTTGGAAGAAGATTTCCATCTATCTTTGGTGTTCCAAGACGGAATAATAGCACGTCTACGGGAACCACTGGTATGGGCGCTCTTTCAGGTGTCGTTATCTGTTCTGACAAATCGTTTCAGCACGCCAGCAAGCGCCTGCTGAGGACCCGCCTTTTGAAGAAGCCGGGCCAACCGCGCGCGTTTGGCAAACGTATGTTGACGAAAGCTTGATGCATGACACTGAGATGGTTGCCAATGAAAGGGACAAAGTTAATGTCCTCCTCGTTTTCGTGAGTGGGTTAACTCAGTGCTACCTTTGCCGTGTCCAACACTCTACCTCGTAGGCGGGATTATTCTCCGCGGTTGTGAGCGCCTTCATTTCGCAGTCCTCTTCAAATCTTCAGCGAAACTATGACCAGCTGTCTGCGTATCTGTTGTTTGATCTCATGAATGCGCAACGTGCATTGGACAATGGCACGTCATTGAATGCCATTAGTACCTCCGGAGCAGATCCTACTGGCCCGTTTACACCAAAAACATTAGACTCTGTCGTGAACGGATTGTGGTTCGCGAGTCTCACACTCAGTCTTGCCACCGCTTTGTTTGCAGTACTGGCAAACGAATGGCATTACCATTATTTATCGCCTATCAGTGGGGATTCCCAGATACGAAGTCGCATTCGACAGTTCCGTTATATGGGCCTTCGCCGTTGGCATGTCAGCGGTTTCATTGCTCTCCTACCACTGATGTTGCACCTATCCCTGGGTTTATTTCTGCTAGGCCTCGTTCTATATCTTTTACCCCTACAGCTGGGTATTGCCCTATTGTCAGGAGGGATAGCATTGATGACTTTCGTCGTGTATGTCACTACGAATATGCTCCCGATGATATATCCGCAGTGCCCGTACAAGACACCGGTATCATCGGTTCTACATGCCATTTTTATTCGCATGCTTGGACAATTCCCCGCTGTCCTGAACGCAATATCATCGTCTCTCTCGCCTCATCATCACACATTACAGGTTGTAGAGCTTCATGCTGCTGAAGCATCTCGTGCCGAAGTCGATGTTCAAGCTCTTCATTGGCTGTACTCGGTATCATCGAACTCATACATGCGCCGTCTTGTAATTCAAGCACTCTCTGGATTACCTGCTGACTGCAACGAGTTCGCCAATCGCCTTTTTCAAGCGCACTGGCGTGAGATACGCGATGAGAAGGAAGATATGTTGATGGATTGCATGGAGAAGGTCCTGAACCGAGATGGGAGCTCTACTCGGTGGGTTCCCAAGGATATTCCGGATATCGACCGTAAGGTCGAGCAGCTTCTCCGGCTAGAGATTCAATTTCCTCCTTTGCGCAGAGAACCTCAGTTTGGAGGGTATGATCTGGATCTCTCACACAAGTACATTTACTTTGATGGCTTGTCGATAACACTATCTTCTCTCGAAGCTGCACACATTCGGAAGCCTGCACACCTACCTTCGCAAAAACAAGTCGCCATGAACGCCTTAGCGCGTAATGATGTTCACCATCCCGTCGTATGGAAATGCCTCTTCCATCGTGCGGTTGATCAGGGATTATTTAGTCGCGCGAGCGACACTGTTTTGAATATTGATATGTGTTTCAGTTTAGTAGCGTCACTATTTCTGCCAGACCGGCTTTCTCCCGCATCGTACAGTACCACCTTGGCGGACACCGCAGCCGAATCTTTCCCAGACGAGGTTCTCGACAATCTCCTCTCTTTCTTCGAAAACTTCGATTTGTATCAGGAGTCTATGGAACGTCGACCAAGGCTTCTACTCGCAATCATGCGCCTCTTGGTACTCAACTCGGAACACTCCGAGTTAAACTTGACCGACGTTCATTCGAGTCAACGTCGCTTCTTCCATAATGATTCTACGATCTCCAAATACCGACTGTTAATCGTTGCATTGTATGCGATTAGTAGGAGCATTCACGATCCTGACACTTCACCTTTTCCATTTTGTCATCGTGGAGTATTCGAGGCGATACGCTCTTACATCACATCTGATTTATTCATCGGGACTTCTACGCAATCTCAGAATGGCTCAGAGTACGGGACTCTCGTTTGGACATGCCGTGCTCACGCACTTGCATGTATGGCTTGGTTTATAGAGCAGGGTTCTGACTTTGGCGTTGTCGTGCCGCTCACTGAATGGGCCACGAGGCCTTTATTTTATAATCTCCTTCGCGTCCTGGCCCAAAGCGACGAATATTATCAGTACAACAACCAGCGCCTACCTCATCAGCGCTTTGGCTCTCTCTTTGGGGTAATTAGTTTTCTGCTGGGTCAAGGATTCTCCGGTGGGATTTGCCATGCGTATGAAACTTTTCGAGAGGAAAGAAGTTTGCAGTATATCGCGCAGCGAAGCTCACTTCATATATGGGTCATCGAAGGACTTCAGGGCTATATCACCCTACTCTCGGAGGCGACTAACGAGACGGTCATGGGGCATCACGCTCCACGTATTCAGCCTGATGTGCTTCAATCACATATCGAAGACTTGCATCAGGCACCCGTAATTCTCGCCATTTGCATGAGCATTGCGCTCAACGGAATCTCGCGACGTCCAATCTTATCTGCACTAGCGTCAATTGCTCCTGATCATCATGAATGGAATACAGTGCTTAACATCGTGGATTGGCACATAGATGACGACTCTTTCCTCGAAAGCTACTATTCCGAAAGTCGCGAGGTCATACCGCCGGGTGATGCGAGGCGTCTGAAAAAGAATCTAAGAGAAGTTGTCGATGTTCTGACTGATTGTATTGGCGCCGTAAACGATCACAGCAGTGGTATTTACTGGGTACGTAGATCATTTGCATCTTGCCGATTACCATCGATTGAATACTCTTCCAGCCATTGATGAAAACTTACACCCGCACCGGGTCGTTGGAGACTCATCGTGGACTTCGATGGAGAAGGTGGAAGAAAAGGCTACTCGGTTCTAGGAAGATTGAAATGAGTCTTACGGAGAAAGATATTGAGCAAGGATGATCCACAATCTGGAACGGACTTTGTACGATAGTGATGGCATCTGTACTTTAATCACAGTCAAAAATGTAAAAGATAGTCCACAGTTCGCATGTCTATGGTATCATTAGTACCATTCTAGACAGCGTTCGTGAGGAGTGTATATAGAAAAGGAGGGGTCCACAAGTTCAAAATCCAAAGGTATTGTTTCAATTTACCGTACCGCATGATAACGTCAATGACCATTTTAAGTCCAGAACCTTTAATTCTAAAACGCCATCGCACCAACAAGAACAACGACACCCGACCACAGCCACTTCACACTCGACATCTTCATACCACCATTAACTGCCCCAACGAGCGAGGTGGCGGCAGTGGTGGTTCCGCCGACGGTGCTGGTGCTGTTAGACACAGAGCTAGATCTTGTACTCTGCGTGCTCTTTGTGACGACGCAAGACGCGGGAACCGTGGTACCGCCACTACTGTCGCAGGAAACAATAACGACAGTGTTGCTAATGACCGGGACTGTGGTACTAGTGATGGTGGTGATGCTGACGTTGGCGCTGGTCGGAGCGCCCGAAACGGTAGTAGATATCGTGACAGGTGATCTGGAGATGGTCGTGTCGGCAAATGAGGTCACAGTCGAAATTCCCGTGGTGCTCTGTGGGCCTTCAGTAGTGATGGAAAACGATGGAATCGTGGCACCGTCACTGATGGAGGAGATAGGGATTGCAGTGCTATTGATGATCGATACTGTGACGCTAGGAAGAGTAGTTGTACCGCCGTTGGTGAAGGTCGAGACTACTGCAGTACTTGTGAGATAGACTTGCGAACTGGGGATGCTCGGAGAACCACCCGCAAGCGAAGAAGTCAGAGCAGAAGTCGTAGTACCACCCAGGGAGGTGGTGGGAGTTCCGAACACGAGCGAAGAGGATCTGTACAGAACAGTCAGTTTTCATTCTTTAACAAGAGTCGTCAATCCGCCATGCTTACGGAGATCCGGCCAGAGAAGAAGATGCGCCATCTCCGGACGAGAACACTACAGTGGTAGAATTGATAGGACTTGAAACCGTAATTGTGGTACTAGTACATGATGGCCGGTCAGCTCACAAGCAAGCTACGAGTAGAGAATTAATTTAACTTACAGAGCAACAGCTGTCACTGACGACGACACTACGGCTGTAGTGGTAGGCGGAGACACCACGGAAGTTACAGGAGGCAGAATTGAGGTCACAGAAGTCCTGCTCAGAGACGAGTTAGCATTAGAGGAGAAGACATACGGTGGTCACTTTGCTTACTGATCAATGACCGTCGAAGAGGTTTCCTCGATGAAGCTGGAAGGTGCCCTTACATATGCACCAAGGACGACGGGGATGAACGACGTTCCAATGGCTAACACGTTGAATACTGGAAGGAGCTTCATGGTGGGATGCCGCGCGGAAAGTTGCTGGATGCCAGGAGGCTCGTTTTTACCTTAAATACTCCGGCACTACATACCACGTTCCGTAGCTGGCGTCATCACAAGACTTCGCAAACTAAAATAATTGACACGAAGGACTGAATATGCCATGCCCGCATCCACAGAGTAGCCGCTGTGGAGGGCAATTGCACTGCCTCGCGTCTTCAAAGTAAACGAACCTGGCCGTGGTGTAAAGTCCATCTGGGTATACATAATCCAGAGGCAGGCACCATAGATATCGACACTAGCGAAAGTGTATTGATTTCTTCGTCAAGCGGCGTAACTGTTTGCGTAGGAAATGAGTCGGGCCTGAAATTAGGAAAGTAGGCCGAACCGGGGAGTCTCGGTGCAGCAGGTCTTCAGGAATCAAGTGGCATCAACGTAGAGTCTGGGTAGCCTGAAAAGATGGGATAAGTCTGTACATATCACAAACAAAAAGACGTAAACTGAAGGGAATGGCAAAGATTCCTCACCCGGATACCTGGATTATATGTCCGTTAACATGCACAGTCGAAATGTAATCACAAACATAGAGTCACCTTTATTGTCTGGTAAGACTTGCTGTCCTTCGTGAGAACTAGAGGGTACACGAGAAAAACTGTAAGCAAAGCCTCAAGATGTCAGCGCTCAGGACATACATTTCTGCTTTAATTCTAGACTCAGAAAGCTGATAGAATCTGCTAAAATTACGTATCATTAGCCGATGGGTATCAAGGAGAGTCCTCTATGGCTATGCACCATACACATTTACCGATACATTGTGGCGGGCATCCTTCGCCGACCCTTGGGCGGCGGGTCACAAATGGATGCGAAATGTGCATCCTGAAAAGAGGGACCAGGGTTAGCTGGTGCATTATCGAATATTGCGCTAGATACTGTTACTAAAGATTTGGAGCTTGAAGCTTGGATATTTGTCTGGGAGAAGCTTGAACACTCCAGTATTCAACTGGTAATCATTTTGAAGTCAAGATCAAGACAGCAACGCGCAGCGGTTGGAGAAAAGGAAGGTACCATAAGTTTATAACAGTGTGAATGTTATTGCAGTGCATCACATTATGAGGCTCAGGATTCGGGCGCTTGCTGAGCTCCTGTTGCTCGTGAGGGGAATTGGGATCGGTCAATCGGGCCGACAGTCCGCGGAACAATCATGTGATATACACCAACACCATTTCAAATTCAAAATCCGGCCTTTCCGACAGTTGGCGCTGGCGTCGGGCGACTCGAAATCTTGGAACAATGTTAGCGAAAACGTAAGACGGTACGGGATGCTATCAATGTATACTCATTGATTTTTTCAAATTAGATGACAGCGAGACCTCTTGCCTGCCGCTCACGGCGTCTTCGCTCGACCGCCACTTTATCATTGCACATAGCCGCTTCGCTCGCTACGCATTTGCCATTGACACTCTACAGCCCTTCTCCATCAATAGAGCTCTGTTCTAACGCAAGAAATCGACTGATCTGTTCGACGGAATCACCTCTACGATTACCTGTACGATGGACGAACGAGAACGAACAAATTATTGTCAATGTATTCGTTCAACTACGATGTCATTGAGTCTACCTGTGCTTTTCTGGCACGTACTTATAGAGGAACGCACTGAACTCGATCGTGATGGGATAACGAGACGCGCATCCGCGACTGATCCCTTTCAACTCAATCGGATCGGATCCGTAACATGAACGGTTTTTACCTCGTTACTACCATCAGCTCCCAGTTTAAACAACACGAGGAAAGAAGTACCACAGCAAATGCGCCCTTACCCTTGTGCTGTGGTAGAACACTGCCGTCGGCCTCTTATCGGTTGATGATGCAGGGCCGGGCACCTCGTGGAAGAAAGGGCGGCTTCTATGTTTTTTTTGTGTGAGTTTTTTTCAAGTGAGCATCGCATTTTCTTCCGTTCCTTCTACAGCTCTCATCTTTCTTTCGAAGAGAATAATATCCCTTGTTATACTCGATGCTAAACGACGCCGTCGACGTAGGCCCCGAGCCAGGGTTATTCAGCAGAACCGAATCTTTAGAAGAGAAAGCGGAGGCGTCATATGGAAATTATTTCGGCCTGGGCAGGGGACGCTATTGCCGTAGGCCTATGGCTGGTACGAGTTACATCCGTTTACCTATCATTCTGTCACTGACGAGCCGGACCAGGTTTAGGCTCGAACTTGAATGACTATACGGCACGTTACAGTAAAGATCGCATCGGCGAGGAACTGTCACCTCAGGGACGCTTCTGGCGGACATATCTTGATGAAGCCTCTATCTCAGATGGGGGTATGCTGGATGAATACCATAAGACAATTGATGTCCTACTGGTTTTTGTGCGCGCCAATCTTTCCATCTGCAACGCTCGCACTGACACTCGTTTAGGCTGCTTTGTTTTCTGCAGTGGTGACAGCCTTTGTCATTCAGGCATCTCAGATGATGCAGCCAGACTATTCCGCGATCTCCGCCTGTCAGCTTGTCGAGCTGGTCAGCTTGCAGCGGGAGGCCATGAATATTACAACAGCACCAGTCGTTTCTTTCCCTCCATGCGGTACAGCCTTATCCTCGGCACCATTCCGTGTGAACCAATGGGTCAACAGCATATGGGTCGTTAGTCTCACGCTGGCCATGATAACGGCATTTGTCTCCGTCGTGGTCAAGCAATGGCTACACCAATACGCTTCTGCTATCCCCGATAGCTCACCCCGCGACTGCGCGCGCATTCGGCAATCCCGCTATACAGGACTGAAGGCCTGGAAAGTTCCGATGATTATTGGACTTTTACCCGTTCTCTTGCACGTTGCCCTCGGCCTGTTCCTTGCAGGATTAGTCCTGTTCTTGTTTTCATTGGATATAGCCATCGCCTATGTTGTAGCTATCCTTTCAGGAGCAACTTATGTTGCGTATGCGATGTGCCTTGTTCTTCCATTTATCTACTCCGATTGTCCCTACAAGACGCCCTTAACGGTCTTGCTATACGGACCTTATCTATCTGCTCGAAAAGCCCTGTCCAGAGTTTGTCTTCGATGGTGCGGTCGCCCTAGCTCCTGTTCGGAGCCGCCGTTGGGGGAATTTTGTTCATTGAAGGAGGTTGAGCGTGCAGAAATCATGAAAAACTCCACCATAGTTGATAAAGAGGCCATTTCTTGGCTATATTCAACGACATCGAACGCGTCTGTCCAACACGTTGTCGTGCAAACTATCATAGGATTGTGCACCGGCAGAATCGACGATGTCGATCGCGTGGTTGAAGATCTATTCGAACAGTTCGGGAGTCTTCGACCACTTGCTCAGAAATCCATTCTGAACATCCTCGAGTCCCATCACTCACTCCTTTTTGCGGACATTCGGCCTGAACAATCAACAGCCGGGCCATTCTGTGACACGACCGTCAGTCTCGTCAAAATACTCCAGACTCGGTTACGAGACGCGCTTTTACTACCCCACGATGTGTGGCTATGGCTCTTGAAGTGCGCCGATCCAAATTCCGCGAGAGCACTGGTGTTAGCCACGGAGCTCATCAAGGTGTGGCGGGACAATTTCTCGACCAACCATCTCGGGCACCGCCTTGTTTGCGGGACGATCGTTGACTACGTATCGTATCCTGGAGACACAGAAGTCGGTAAAGCCATTCTCGGATATGTCCAAACCACAGCAGAGTCTCTCCTCCGCCACAATCCGAGATGGTCAAGCGTCTTTAATTCTACTCGTAACCCTCTCAGTATTTCTCCCGCTCGTCTCTCCCCCGAGGTCGCACTTTTAGCCGTCTTCTGTGCCGAAGTCCAAGCACTGGATAACGTTAACAAGGACCCCCGATATCTCTCTGACGTTGAGTTTCTTCTCAGCGGGGCTTCCATCACAATCGACTACATACTCCACAATTGCTTACGAAACGTGCACTTGACCCGCCGAGCTGCCTGCTACATTACCTCCTGTCGCGTATATCCTAGCCCATTATCCGAGGGAGTTCACCAAGGGCTGTTACAACTCTTCACGCACTGCTACGCCTGCCCGTTCACAGCAGGGTGGTTTGTTTCGGAACAGCAGTTCTGTTCCAACCTCATGAGATGCTTCATGTCCCCAGTCTCATCCGAAACCCCGCAGCTTCGCGAAGAGTACGGCGCGCACCGTGACCTGGAGTGGATCGTGCTCGTCAAAGTCGTTGAACCGCTCCTTCACTCCAAAGATGATGCCGGGATGGTATTCGACGCTTTTAATGGCGAAGGGGGGTTATCGGCTTTGTATGAGAGGTTCCGGCGATTCGACCTGGCGCTTTGCAAGGTGGATCATGGAATGAACTATGAAGGCCCGAGTGACGGACTCGACACGACCGTCATCGACCTTGCGAGATACGTAGCTGATAGGATAACGGATATCGAACCGTCCTTCTGTTCTCCTTCTTCTCCCGAGTTCTTGGGACGTCTCCTACTACTCAGTCGTCTACTCATTCACGGACAGAAAACGTCAACCCTCGCTCGGCTCCTCCTAGCATTATCGGGACGAGACGTTCCCGAGTCTGGTGTTTGGCAGGAGTTTATTTCGCGGCTGTGTCAATGGACCACGGATATGGAGTTCCGGGACGAATGGACTCTACTACATCGTCGAGTAGCTATTGATATCATTGGTGATATGTGCGAGTTCCTTGGTGCGGGTTCGGTGGAGCTACCGCAGTATGAGTATGTTGTGGGAGGAAAGAACTTGGATGCGCTGAAGTCAGAAATGAGTACGTCGAAGGCCTATCTGTAAGTTTCTTCTGCTGTATCGGAAAGCCGTGGTATTTACCAGTCATTTCAGGCACGATTTTCTTACCTACGAGGGTAGCTACCTGTTTGCCCCGTATGTTATCAGTTACGCAGAGGTGTGCTCCTTTCTGCTTCGAGTGATGCTATGTTTTAATATCGTTTGAAGATGCATGAAAGGGATGATTTAAGACCCTTGGTCCCACTTCGACACTGTCTGACTACCATCAACAAAGCGGACGCCCGTCAATTAGAAGAGCACATATATGTCGAAAGACACGTCTCCGTTGATCTTCCTACACCGGATTGGGGCTTCAGGTGCCGACTTTCACCTTGAGCTGATATCCATTATATGATGCCACCGGGTCAATTATTCTGCAAATTCCATGCTCATTGTTTGGATGTTCCCTTGTGTTCACATGGATTGATAAAATATAGTGATTATATTCGCATTTCTACATGATTACAAACAGATGTATTTTTACGGCTTCATCGACAATCAATCATTGATTGAATTGTGATGCTTGTGTGTGCGACGAGGGGCAGGTTTACCATCAGCTAGAGCGGCCATGTGTCACTGTGACAAGTAGCAGTGAGAACCAAGTACCAGCCCCAATCCGAATAACACGTATCTACTTAAGCATCGATGGCAACTCGGAAACTGAATTTCTAGTGTTATGCAGGTTACAAAGGCCTTGAACTTAGCTGCGATAGAATTGATGTAGAGTTTAAGGCCAACTTCTTTGTCGCCGGCGCATTGCCACTTTCATCCTTCAAAAGGCCAGATGAGTATTACATTGGTCATGGAGGTTCGAATTACTTACTCGCAGGGGGCGGCGGTCAGAAATTGCAAGATAATTTTGAACTTGACATTTTCGACTTCTCTAAAAGCGAGCTTCAGTGGCAAAGTCAACGGTCATGGAGGCTGAAGTACCTAAGGGAACGTACCTATGCACCTGTATAGACACAGGCATGAGACTTCCGAAGCCCAAGGCAAGTCTCAGTGCCAACGTGACGATGGTGAACTTAGCTCGTTTGTCGCCAGGCAGCTTTATATAGGCACCACGCGTGGCATGTTTGTTGTTCAATCAACGAGAGCTGAAGAACAAGAAGTCGAATTGACCTCTTATCTCAGCAGGTGAAAAGCAAGTCAGATTGATCTCTAACTGAGATCCGCACTGGGATGACTAACCGACATCAATTTCGAGTCTATTGCATCTCAATTATATCTTGAGCTGTTACCTAAATACGACGCTGAGTCTTGATATCAGCGGGACCTCAAACCATTTTGGTGGTGTACTTTATAGGGTCTGATAATTTACGTTACTTACATTGATGAAAGATGAAATTTCACTAGGCATAGACCGTCTCCGTGATGGCAGCATGGTCTCACCAACCTAAAGCAACGCATATATGAAGAGCTAACTATTCCTTGGATATTCATAGGTATAACATACATGAAGACAAAAGATACTACAACCATAGAAATAATGTACATTAACCGAATGAATAACTACAAAAAAATTAAGAAAAAATACCACAAGAAATATATACACCGCCAAAGATACCAGCTCTAATAGAATAGACATTTTGTTTCATCACGTTCCCCTTCGCTGCGAATCCCCCCCTTGGGACCTCGTACATCTAGGACTCGAGCTTCTACTCCTCGTTCCCCGCCGATAACACCTCTCCGGGGTTCGACTGCTCCTTCTGCTACTGTATCGGCTGCGACTCCTGCTTCTACTTCTGCTTCTACTGCTGCGCCTGACTCCCAGACGGGCCATCTAGACGGCTCCTAGACCTACTTCTTCCCCTTCGTCTATCATAATCCCTACTGCTCCTACTCCTGCTCCTGCGCCCCACTCCTGACCCCGATTCACTCTCCCTCAGAGAAGACGGAGGCACATTCGAAGCAGCACCTCTCCGCGCAGCCTCCAATTGCAATTTCGCTTTGGCCTCCCTCATAGGCGCAAGGCAGTCAACCACCCAAGGACTATCCCGCGATCCTTCTCCTGGAGGTGCCGTCCACGGGCAAACGACAGGGGTGGGATCAGGTGTGGGGAGAACCGTTATCTGTGGAGGGGGGATGACGATGCTGCTCGAACTCGGACCACCAGGTCTCTTCTTCCTCGGCGTTGCGAGTTGTGGGCGATTCAGCGCGTCAGTTGGGGATGGCGGGGATCTTGGGTTTCGTCGCGGTCTTGGGTTTGGCGGAGGACGACGACGACGACGAGGGAGGTAAGATTCTCTTGAACTTTGGCAAAATCGGCTCGGGGCTAGGGGAAGTCTGTTCAGGGGAGATGACAATCTGCGGAAGGCTCGTAGTTGTCAAGGGGCGATTCAACGCGTCGTCGGGGATGGTGGGGATCTTGAACTTGGTCGTGGTCTTGGATTTGGTGGAGGACGATGATGAGGGAGGTGGGGGTGGGGATGATGTGATCTTGACGGGGCTAGAGGAAATCTGGTCAGGGGTGACGACAATCTTCGAGGGCTGAGTGGCATTGGATGATGAGGATGTCATCGCGCTTTGAATAGGTTTGACTGTTCGCGTTCGAGCAGGCTTGGTCTTTGCTTTCGCAGTAGGCCGATCTTCAGCTTCCGATTCGTCTGCGACGATCCGCCTTCGCTTCCTTCCGGTCGCCGTTTCCTTCCCTTTCGCAGTAGCAGTCGTAGGTTTCGTCGACGGCTGGTCTGGCACGACCTGCACTGGCTTTGTGCACTGGCTCGCCGGCCGGTCACCCTGCCCATCACTCTTGAAAGTCATAGTCTTCATCATCTTCAGCCAACCGAGTACGTGGTTATACGTCTCCGTGTTGGACCGAATAGAGGAAAACCGGCCTCTAACATTCTTCCGTAGCTGCGCGGCAGCATCCGAAAGCTGAGTGAGCGAGAGTTTGTCGCGGTGGAGGAATATCATATAGGTGATCATGACGAACTCGATGGGGGAGACTTTCTTGTCGTTCAACGGCTTGGACAGAGTGGGATCACGAGCGAGGGTGCATAGGACGTCTACTGTGCTGTCGATATTCCGCTTCAACTTCGGTGTTATCGTCGCCGCCTTGTCGCCGGTCAACCAAGCTTCGATTTTGGGTGCAGATGGTTCGGCCTTCTTTCCGTCAATGAGGTAGATGATCTGCGCCACACATAGAAAGTCACGTCCCCGAGCTTTACCCCAGGGAACATGCCCTTCGAGTCCTTCAGGAGACGCAAGCTTATCCTGCACCTCACGAATCAGGGAAGCCAAAGGCCCGGTGATGGCTTGCAGACGTTCGGCCGGGGTGAGTGCTACGCCTAACTGGACACGACGAAAGATTTCGCGTTCTTGGTCCTGGGTAAGGTCGTCGTACTCGACGCAGGTGATTTGGGTGTTGCTGAAACGGGACTTGAGCTGCGTGGGGAGGATGGTGCGAGATCTGGTTCTTCCGGCTCCGCTGCGGCTGATGTACCAGAATTTGCCTTGGGTACGGAATCCTTGTCTGGTGAATGCATTAGGAAATAAAAAGAGGAAATGAGCAGGGGAGGCGTACGCATGATCTGCTGAAACGTCAGCTGTAGGACAAAAACATGAAAAAAAAGAACACGCACATGACCATCTGTAAACCGCCTAATCGAAGACAACCTTTGTTTCCCGTCGATACACGTCCGCTTCTCCTCTCCTTCTGGGGTCAAGCGATACAGCTAGCATGTGCGGTTGAGCCAAACGAAAGGCCAGCCAGAGCGACAGCGCACCGAAAATCAACGGTGGTATGTAGTAATTGTGAATGAGCGAGTCGATGAGCTGACTTTGCTTCGAGTCGTTCCAGACAACGTCTACCGAAAATCAGGGGGGGTAGATCAAAGACAGCCAAAAGACGCGACGCACCTCTTTGGTATTCGGGCTCCAAATCCAGGGACTTGTCGCAAAGTTTCTCTGTGAAAGTTCAGTCGATATCAGACAGTAAAAAAACGAGCCTGACCGCACTATACAAAGACTCCACCGAATACGAAACCGTCCTAGGCGCACGCAGTGCCGGACGGATAACTGGTTTTTTACTGCGCGTCTGCAGCTTCTTGGTTGGCGCCAGAGGTACGTTCTCTTCGTCCGAAGAGAGGTCGGTGAGGTCGGAATCGTCAGAGAAGGACATGGTGGTTAGTGGTAAAAGGCGGAAACAGCAGCCCCCTGCCTAATTAGGCTCGCGGCTGTTTTGCCTTTGTCTCAAGCCGCTATGACCTCCCAACATGGCCATACAAAACGACCGTATTGTTTGCCTTTTTGTGTCTACGTAATGACCAGGCGGCAGGCTCTGTTTGGATCCGGAATCGGTGGCTAGTACGACGGCAGTGGCGGAAGCGGTACTTATTGGCAGTGGAAGACGGGGACGCTGGCATTTTGGCGTGCATGGGAGTAGAAAGCAAGATTTTGGAGTGGCCGCAGCGGTCGCTTCATGACCCGGATCACATAACGCCGAGAGGTAGTGCGGTGCCTTTATACGCACGGACCACCTTTCGCGATCAGGGCTGTGCTATGCTAATAGGCAGGTCTCATCGCCACCGCAATGGGCGCTTGTTCGCCAACGACGCGATATCGCTTCGAAGGTTATTTTTCTAATACGGTTTGTTTAAAATCCGTCGTCCCACGAACATGGAACAAAAGTCTAATATGGAACATTAACTTGTCCAGATACCTTTGCGTGCACCGCACGCGGTTGTCAAATATGGCGTATGAGATGCGGTGACCTGGTACGCAGTAATCTTTCCATATCTTTCGTATCTACGGTTCGATTGACTAAATAATAACGTCAGACTGTGTGGGAAATGCAATACTATGCTGAAGGCCCTCATATCCAGGCGCATATTGCGACGCTCGTCGCTCGCTGGACAGAAGTAACGCGTCCCAGGAGAGCGGGCCGAGTTCAGTTCCAATCCGTCTTGGAATCTGCAAAACCACCTTCCTACGTGCCTATGGACGTATCTGTAACCCGGGCTGCGAATCCAAACAGACGAGACTGCGGCACCAGCTTGTCGTAAGCAAGAAGCAATAAGATCAAATTTGACACCAGTCTTACAGATACGATGACGCATACTTTTCGGTGTCCACTCTTTCCACCCGGCGTTCTAGTTCCGCGGGATCACGAGCATGTTCCTTTCATTAATTTTGGACAGCTCGTTTTCTCGTTTTCAGCTTGACGGCATTTCTGAATCCTTGTTCAATCCCAGGGGCCAGGTTCTTCGTGTTCGTAATGCTACACTCCGAAATTTCTAGCCCTTGATCAACACCCCTAAGCTCTGAGTTTCCAAGTATCTGTATGCCTCCGCGTCTTGGCTTATCTGCAACGGTGCACTGCAGTTGGCAACCACAGGAACTCAGCTCACATCACGGCGGTTCTTTATTGTTCCTCCTAATTGACTCGTATAATTTTATGGAGAGTGTCATATCAGTAACTGGGCGTTTCCTATAACTGCGAAACCTCCTCGAGCTGTGTTTCTGTTGGAGATGTTATCAGATCACGGACGCGGCCTCATTTCTGATATATGGCTTTTCCGAGTGCAGATACGACCTCGATTGCTCATCATTCGTTGCGAATATGCCGCCAGTTCGTGATGTTTAAATTATGCTTGTTGTCACAGCTGTGGAACGAATAGCCACACACCGGTACGTAGTAAAGAAGTCTTTCAACAGTTTTGGAGCTGATGATCGTGCACGGCAATATAGGGATTGGTTTATTCTGAGATATCTAAGAAGATTAATGGCCTCTGACAGTATAAATGCCTTACAGTGGATGAAACTGAATCCCGGTTCTATCAAGGGATGATCATCTAGCAGTGACAGTGAATATGTAAATCTCCAATCCTTGTACTTATCTCACTTTTTTCGCAGCCTTATAATACTAGCCGAAATATGGCCACGATTGTCAGCCCTTATTATTGTGGATGTACGATTTGGATTATTTAAATCCCAATGGAGACCATCATATATGGCCCTATCACCGCCACCGACATTACAATTGTTCTTTCCAGCCCTCGGTCCTTCAGCGAAAGATCTGAATCCTGGCATGACATTAAACCAACCTCAATTTCAACGTCAGTGTGCTTACATTTGCATGGGCTTTACTTACCGACATGCAGAACGTTGCTCGCCAGTACTAGTTCATCCGAACCATCACCTACCTTTAGTTCAATCAGTTCTGAACTAACCTCCACTACAGCGAGCACCGTCTCTTCAAAATCGTACGTGTAAATGGAATTCCTTAGCACAACGCTTCTTGATTGGTTCTCCCTCTCATAGGTCTGCCAGCAGGGAATCTTCGAATTCTACGTCGGTTTGAACTACCTTGAACTTCTGTCCGAATGCTCATAGCTCTGCTCTTTTGCTCTAGTATACAATCACACTCTGCTATACGTCCTAGCTAAACGTCCTTAACCAGTACTATCGCAGCCAATACCGCATCTTCGTCTCCGTGAGTACCGTATCCCCCGGCAGTTCATATCTCTAAATTACATTTAGATCCGCAACACCACTATATACCTCCCGGACCAACTCACATAAACCACCACACACGTCGACGTCGACGATAGTCGGAGCTGTCCTTGGTCCTATAGTATTTTTACTTCTCCTTTCACTAGGAGTCTTATTTCTCCGACGTGGGCACAAAACCAAAACCCAGCGCGCAAAATCACCCGACTCGGACCCTGTATCCAGGCAGATTCGAATTTCCTCCCAAGATGAAGGGAAAGGGGGAAGGCTGACGACGGGCCCGCGTAATATATCCGCGTCTTTGGATGATAATTCTCCTGAGCCTGGGCATGAACCCTCGTTGTCGGGAAGGGCGGCTGAACGAGAGGATGGGGATCGGCAAGTTCTTGCAGAGGAGACGATATTGCATTCAGCGTCGCCTCAACCAATGTTGATGAGTGATGAAGCGGCAGAAGAGATCTTGTCGCTGCGTACCCAGATAGAGCAGCTCATTGGCGAGAGAGCGTTATCAGTATGGAACCCTTACAGCGAGTCAGATCCTCCTCCGGCATATGTGGAAGCTGTTAACGAAGATGGCTGAGGAGAATGTGATTACCACCTTACACTCAACATTGATAGTTAGTTTTTCGATGTAATTTCTTTAGCATAATACTCATTCAAATTTTTTTGGGACGAGAAAAAAGAATTGTACATGTTATACTAACGAACTAAACGGCATGAACATCCGTAAGAAACACTACTACCTCATCTGAATGAGAGTCACTAGTGAGTGTCAACAGCGAATCCGCTAAAAGTTATGAGGATCATCGCATTTATCTTGATACATCCAACCTAATTTCTTCTACGTATTCCGGAGGAGGATCCTGGTCATTATGGGATTCCTGTACTGACGTTCTCTCGGCGACGAGCCGCTGTATCCGGTTCCACAACCTTTGGATCTCTCCGGCTCTTCCCTCGTTCATTGCACGAGGCGAGGCTGCGCACGGCATCTGTTCCTCGGCAGGGATTTGGGGACTCCCCTGTTCAGCTGAAATTTCTGAAACCGGGGGCTCAAAGGCATCATCCGAGGGTGTAGTGGTTCCGCGCGGGACGGACAATCATCGTTGCCCCGGATGGGCTTCTTTTTCTTCTTCGTTTTCTTCGATCCCCAATTCGATGATCCTTGAGGTTATGGATGTTGGGATCATTGGATCCATTGGCGCTGCTGCAGGCGCATTCTTTCCTCGTAGCTTGTGTATTATACTGTGCTGTCGATTCTGGATGAAAGGCCATATTTGTAGACCTTGGCCCGTGGTCATGGGGCTGAGTGATGGTACGTTTCTTCGGTTTCTGTGATGGCGACCATACAAAACTACTCCTAGCGAAAGGAATAGTAGGAATATTACAGCACCAAGCATGGATCCAATTATTGTTAAGGTCTTTTGTGATTTATCCGAGTGGGATTGGTGGGAGACAGTGCCATTGTCACTCTGTACTTCGAATATGTCGCTTGTCGCGATCGCATGTGTCGTAGTTGGGTCTATGCTGCATATAGAAGTCAGCAATAAGACTACAGTCAAAACGTTGCAACCGACGACTCATTCTCGTAAGCTAAGATCTCATACTTACTGAAAGGTTTGGTTAGGTTGTGAATTTAAGGGGAAATTGACAAGGTGCACTTGGCTTGATCAAAAGTGATATTGGCTATTGTGTTGGCAATGAAGTTGGTGACTTCGATAGCTGAAAGGTACTAACTATGCTAAGGAATGCAAAGTGCTACACACACACACCCCCTAACACACTCAATAATTGCGGTTTGAAGGGGTAAGTTACACCGGGTCAATACTTGTACTGTGGATACTAGTTCTGGGTTGACAATGAATATAATTTGTTTGATTGCAATATTCTGAAGCGACACAAATCTGAACTTTCTGTGTTACCAAACACAATCTGATACCAACGGGCTGCCTGGTGCAGTTTCCTGAATGCGTACTAACTGCCTGGTGCAGTGTCTGAACTGATACTGTCTGCCTGGTTGCAGTTTTACTGGTACTAACATGGATTCTGGACTGTACTTCTGACTGTCTGTCTGTATCTTTCTGAACTGACTGCTTTCTGAACTGCTTCTTGCACACAAAATGTGACCAGGTCACTAAATACTATTCCAGGTGAGTCTAGGACTCGAAGCTCTTAACCAAAACCTGTACTAATTTGCTTGGTAGCGTTCCGGGGGCCAGAAACCTGACCTCTCACTTATACATGCATTGTATTTATACTATACTACTCTACCTATATTTCCAATCCTCCAGGTATTACTAAGCTACTTGCTGATGCAGCCAGGCAGATATGAGCTCATACCCCAGCTACCAGGTAGACCCGATCATGACCTCTTGCCACAGACTGGCGACCTGGTTCATGATTTTCCGGTTACCCCCTTGGCCAGGGCAAAGCCCTTGGTTCCATAATCCAGGTTTCATACTTACCTGGCAAATCACTCACTAATCCGATAGACTAGGAAGGCTACTGGGTAAGTAACACTGTATGCAATATTTCTTGTCTTGCATTCGGACTGGTGCCATCAAACGGTCAATATTGTGGGGATGCCAGTTCGGCAGGAGCCATGTGCTTTCGACCTGCCTGGACCTTCGGTCACTCAGGCTGAGTCATTGGATCACCAGTCTGTTGCCTGAGCCCTTAGGCTTGTCATGGCTAAGTCCTTACTGACACAGTGGGGTTTAACACTTCTTGCTGTGTACCTTACAGGTTCTTTCTTATTCAGCACAGCTACAAATGTAGTTTGTAGGATAATAAAATTGGATTTATATGTGTTTTTCCAAGGGTAGATGCCAGGCAGGCATATCATAGCATCAATAGATATGTTGCTACTGTTGTCAAGTCAATGCTTCTTGAGGAGTATATTATATCGGTAGGATCTCCTTCTTTGTGTATGAGGGACACTGTGGTATTCTGTCCTATTAAAATATGGTCTTCATCCACAACTTGGATCTGAAGGGCTAAGGCAATGGAAGCCAGTGCAAGATTAGATATCCTGCTAGAAATGAGAGTATAGCCACCAAACTTGCACAGAGACTCATGCATAGAAAGCAATGTCAGTCATCCCAACCAGTAGGAGGGGGGGGGGGCAAAAGAGAGAATGGTTTATGAATGATCTGTATGACCTTCAATGGTCATAAGCACTGAATGTGAGGATGATGGCTTCCACCAAGGGTGCCAAAGAGGAAAAGCAGGTATCAAAGCCTTCGAAAAGTCCAGCCAATTCAATCTTAAGAGTGGTGGTCTACTTTGTACCTGTCCTGTGTCAAGTGGCAATCATATCTCAATCAACTTGAATCAAAAGATGGTCGCTAATATCAGCGACAGATCTAGGGATCTAGTTCTTGACATCATCACATGTGGACAAAAAACAGGGTGGATGGTGGTGTCTGTGAATCTCAACTGTGATATTATGGAGGGACGTCAATAGACATGCAAAAGCTTTATATGTATGGGAATAGGTGCATTCAGATAAGAACTGAAACCTTGTGGGACTAGAGAAGACTCAGAGCCTCAGAAGAGTTAGCTATGAGGGAATCGATGGTTATGAAGCAACACCATTCAACAGGTCAACAGTGGTAATGATGGTTTCCACATCTCCAGGAAGCCAGTGGTGAGCGAGGTAGATGGATACAGGATGATGATGACAGCCCAACAGAGATCTATAATAACAGTAATATTTCAGAAGATCTAATTTCAAGCCCAATAGTTGTAGAGATTTACACTTTCAAATCCTTTTGCAGCAACAGGAATTGTAATGTCGATATGGAAGGCCCTATGTGTGATTTGCCTCAGTGAAGTGGCTCAGTTGATTATGGAAAATGCACAAAATTCTGCATTAACGAGGTCAGGTATTATATATCAGGAAGAAAAGAAAAAGAAATATACACCATGTTTCAGATGGCGGCACAAAAACTTGAACTTCGCAGGAATGCAACAATTGCAGCAATGCCCAGTACTCGGCAGGAGTGGCATAGTTATGTAGACTGACACATGTCCCCGATTCTTTCTGAAGAAATTGACTTAGCTAATTTGTGGTGATTGGCTGAGCATGTGGCATGCTATGGCTGGCATGCCAGGTGGCTGAAAGTGATTGCCGCTGTGGCTAAAAAACCCTGTCTTTCCGACTTCTCCCTATTGGTTGATGAACTGTTGATGGTGTTCGCAGATGCCTTTCCTTTTCTTTCCTTTCACTGCCATCCTTTAGCATGATTCTTTTTCTTTTTAGGTTCGGTTCCAGAACTGCAATTTGACTTTGTGTCTTGTATCGCTCAAGTACGTTGTTTCCTGCTAATCAGTTTGTTGTTGTAGTGATATTTGTGCAGGCACACAACAATCAAGAACCTGATATGATGGGTGGAGCTGGAACCATATATTCTCAAGGTCAGTCCAGCTTTACATGTAGCTTGTCGGTTCATAATTAATTTTGTTGTATGCATAGTCGGAACAATTTACTACTCTGATCGACTACCATAATATCACTGGGGAGTTTATCCCAGAGGATCATGGTTTTGATGGGCTTCTCTCTGTTGCACTTCCAGGATACTCTCAGGCTATGGACTCGCGTATGATCCAGGCTATGGCGGATCTACCAGATGAATTCCCCTTCAACAAAGATTATAACTCTGGCTACCATTTGGGTATTGGTAGGTGTTGATTCTCCCTAGAATGTGCCATAGTTTGATTTTACATGCTCTACAGGTTGGGAACAATTGACAGTTCATAATGGCACTCGAATTAGCTCAGAAACTGGACTGAAATACCTGAGTAGGCCGAACTTGTATGTCCTCATCCACAGCTATGCGACCCGAATCCTCGAATCCAATTGCACTACTAAAGGTGTGAAGACCTTTGATACCATGGAATTTACCCAAGATGCTGGAGGTAAGCAATGACTCTCTATACTATTCTGACCAAAATCTGACATCTGTCACAAGAAACAATATATACCCTTTCGCCTGCCAAAGAAATCCTTCTCTCCACTGGATCTATCGGGACACTGCATATCCTTCTCTACTCAGGTATCGGCGACTGCTGACAAACTCAGTTCCATTGGCATTACTCCTACTGTGCATCTCCCTGATGTCAGGAAGAACCTCACTGATCACCCGAGGTATGCTTTAGCTTGGACTGTCAATAGCACAGACACCATCTAGAACGTTCACTTGCAAAACAAGATGTTCCAGAGGAGGCACTCGCCAAATGGGAGGCAAACTGTACAGGATATATCATGAGTACTTCAGGAAATCAGTTAGGTTTCTTGAGGGTACCTGAAGGTCTGCTGGATGATGTGCCATGTTCAGGCAATGAGACGGCACACTTTGAGCTGATTTTCTTGGCAAGTAACTATTCTCTCAGCTTTCATTGCATTCCATTACTGAAGGCGAGTATAGAATGGTATCCCTCAAGAGCCCATCCCACCCACTGGCAACTACTTCATGATACTAGCAATAGTAGTCTGCTCTCTAGCATGTATGTCTCAACTCCTTCCTCTTTTCCTCTCATCTCACAAGGGACATACCAGGTGGAGACATCACCATTAACAGCACAAACCCTCTCGACCCTCCGCTCATCAACCCCAACCTCCTCAGGCACCCCCAGGACTTGACTATCATGCAAGCCACCATAAACATGTCTGAGAGATCCATCACTGCCCCCACATGGGATGGATACATCCTCGAGTTCATGTCGAACACTACCAAAGCCAGCCATTCATGAAGGAGCCGACATGCTCTGGCACCCTGTTGGTACAGCAAGCATGTCTCCTCATAATGCAGGCTGGGGTGTTGTCAATCCTGACCTGCGACGATAGGTCGTTACTGATGATCTACTTAACTAAGACTAGCATTTTAGCATGCAGAGAGCATGGAGTAGAGTTACCTTCGAGTGCAGTGTGGGTTAGGCAAGATATTCAGAGTGGTGTCGATGTCTAAGTAGGGCTTTGCACTGTCCCATATATGGTATACAGCCATATAGCCACAGTACAGTGATGGGTGATGGCTGGTCCGTATACCATACTGTGAAGGCTCTTAGAACTAGATTGACAGTACAGTACGGGTATATAGACGGCCATGCCAGTCGTCAATATGGCCAGTTGAATAATACATACCTGATATTTCGGGCTTCAGAGCAGCTTCAGGTCCTTCCATGGGCACGTCGTCATCTGCATCATGATAAACATTGACTTTCGAGGAGGATTTCAAGTTTCTGTTGGCATCGAGGGCGCACTGATCTGTCATGATGCCCAGAATGTGGTCATAAGTCTGCGAAAAAAATGGACAGGACCATTATATAGTAGATAGTCTTTCATGAACTTCTCTCACTTAAATTCAGCCATATTTGAAAGGTGCACAGACTAGTGGAGGCCAAATTATTGCGCAACATGTGCTTGTAGTCAAAGGATGAAACGGGAGTAGAATAGAAGCAGCAGAAGCAGGAAATAGAAAGTATTCTATGCTGGTAAGGATTAGAGCTTGAGTAGAGTGAGTGAAAAAAGATTGGGTGGTAGCATTGAAGAGCTTGCGGTGCCAACACATCATGGTACAATGTTAAGTGTATGGCAAATATGCGTGCAGCATGATCTGATGATGGTTATTTTTAGATACATACACGGCCATCAATTACCAGTATGATGGCCATGTTTATATGGTTGCCAATGGGATACAGGATGTCCATATACTGTCCATCTCTGGGCAAATTATTTTGCCAGATGGAACGGGTACGGTACCCATATGATGGCACCCATATAACCATAATATACAGTAATGGTGCGAAGCCCTATGTCTGAGTGGGATGCAGGTGGTGAGGGTTGCTGCGGTGCCGGTGACATGCATGCAACATGTTCACACATGTAATTTTGCGAATTCTAGGAATGCAAACGTGTGTGTGCCCTGTGAATAATATTAGAGTGCATGTAAGGCATAGAGCGCTACACACTGAGGCAGAAAGCACTATAATAAAAATAATATGAGTAGAGCGCATGGCTTAGACTTAGAGTGGCACACTTGTGTCATTTAAGTGTGTAGTCTCAGTGCTTATACACACACACTGTGCCCTCCTCTGCAGTGTATCACTCAATTAAACTCACTGAAGATAATATATTGAAGGTGCTTCATGTATTATGACTTTACCCCTATTTTCCTTATCTTATCTTATCCTTATCCCTCAGAACCCCTGACCTACCTATCTTATCTCACGGACCCATGATATTCTGCCAGCACACTCCTTACCCATTTACCTGGTTGCCGTCACCCCAGTTCACAGCTGCTGCATCCAGATGACTGATGACCCGCATGCATCATCATGCTTCTCTTGATGGCATCACACTTCTTAGTAGTTGGATGAGGGTTGACCGCCAGTCGAGGGCGGTCCATGGGATGCAGCCTATTCAGATGGAGTCCCATGCAGATGCAGGTGATATGTGCTCTTTACTCTCATTCATCGGGAGTACAGTTCTTTTAGTGTCCTCACTCCTCATTCGTTGAAAGACGCACTTCTCGTTGCATGCGCCCCTGTAGATACTATTCTTAGTATGAGTCTAACATGTATTTAAGCTAGCCTACGCTGTGGCCTCAGACCCCAGCTTCGGCTAAGGTTATATACTCCTAACTCTTACAAGCTCCTTGCTTTCGCTATAAAGTGATGCCTAACTTCTCGCAATCTACCAATGCCTCTCTAACACTGAATCACTGAATGCGAGTGACAGGATAGAGACCAGCTTTGGTTCAGATTAGAGTTAGTGCATAACATCGTGCTACATTGATCTATGATGCGTGAACCCTGCCGATCTGGCAATCACTGAGAAACATCATCCTGAACTGAAGAATCAACAAGTCTGAATACTCTAAGGAGTTCTCAGCCAAAGAGAAATAAAACCCTGCTGTCCATATGAAATATTAAACTAGAAATGGTTGTGTGGCAACCAATAAAATAAAACTTGCTCACTAGGTAAGTTGCGTGGCACTGTAATTAAATCTGCAGAGCCAATAAGAAGACACACATCACATGGCATGACAAGGCTAGGCCTTGTCAAGTGGAGGAAACAGTGGTAGCACATGTGCGCTGACATGGAGTGCTGAGTAAAATAATGATTACTATCACTATGGCTGATGTGGCACACAAGAGAAGGGAGTCCGAGGTGGAGCATTGTCTATTTTCAGTATTTACATTTCATATAGTTAATGGTAAATATAAGAGCAGGTAGTTACAGGTAGTTAGCAAGTTTTCAGACCCCTGCAGTTGTACTACAAAGCAATGTGCTTAGTGTACGATGAAAGGATTTTATTTGAAGCTTCGAGTGAGAGAATATTATTGAACTTAGAATTATTTTGAACACTTTGAGAGCTTGCAAGGCATGCCTTGCTTGAATGCTGCTTGATTTGTTCAAGTAAAGTACAGTAATTGATTGCGCTCTACTTAGAGAATATTGTATTGTGATAACTTGAATGTGCATTTGTGTTTTTAGGAACTTGTTTGTGAATTCCGAGTTATTGCAAGTGGCAGAGGTTCGAACCCTTTGGCTTGTCAGTAATCTCTGAGGTTTTTGGTTTATTCCCAAGTGGCATAGGTTCAAACCCTGTGGCTTGTGGATGTGTTTTCTGTGTTTGTGTATCTCTGGATCACATAGGTTAGAACCCTGTGGATCTACAAACAGGGTTTTGAAGTGTTTTCTGCTTGGAGCGCAAGGCTTTATGTTAAGCACTAACTCGAACCTTCGCCAAGGCTGATCTCTATCCTGTCACTCGCGTTCGGTGATTCAGTGTTAGAGAGGCGTTGGTAGATTGCGAGAAGTTAGGCGTCACTTTATAAGATAGGCATCACCAGGAACAGGGACCCTTATGTAAGCTGTGACAGTCACATTATATAAGCCACAAAATCTGCTGGAAAAAAATTGTTTGTACCTCTGTAGCACCAGGCAGAGCCGTAGATCACCTATAAGATAATATAAATGATGATAGAACATAACTAGATATGGAATCCATACATTGAATGAGTTTTGTGGTGATACAGTAGCTTCCATGTCAGGCGGGAGGAGGCAGGAGACGGGATACCACCATTGGAATCAAGGGTCCTACCTATTATAGAATATGACATCATAGTTGGGTGGCTGTGCCAGCGCAAAATCCGGAGGTCAGAAAAAGTAAAATGTTGCCAAAGAACTTAGAATAACAAAAGAAGCACTTTTGGGATAAAAAACATTTTTCGTCAATAACTTCATCAATTTTACATGAATTTTTCATCTGATTCCTGTCAAAGGTAGCCACCATCAATACATTCATTTCCCAGGTATCAGATTTTCCATCGCTTTTTTCTGGTGGCAGCATTTGAGGCCCGATGTTTGGTCACAAAGTTGCTTACATAAAGGTCCCTGTTCCTGGTGACGCCTATCTTAGCGAAAGCAAGGAGCTTGTAAGAGTTAGGAGTATATAACCTTAGCCGAAGCTGGAGTCTGAGGCCACAGCATAGGCTAGCTTAAATACATGTTAGACTCGTACTAAGAATAGTATCTACAAGGGCACGTGCAACGAGAAGTGCGTCTTTCAACGAATGAGGAGGGAGGACACTAAAAGAAGTAGGCTTCCGACAAATGAGAGTAAAGAGCACATATCACCTGCATCTGCGTGGGACTCTGTCTGAATAGGCTACATCCTGTAGACCGCCCTTGACTGGCGGTCGACTCTTGTCCAACTACTAAGAAGCATGATGCCATCAAGAGAAGCATGATGGTGCATGTGGGTCACTGGTCATCTGGGAGGTGGCAGCATGAACTGGGGTGATGGCAGCCGGGTAACCGGGTAAAGAGTGTGCCGGCGGAATATCATGGGTCTGAGAGATAAGATAGGCAGGTCCGGGGTTCCGATGGATAAGGATAAGATAAGATAAGCAAAATAGGGGTAAAACTGTAATAATATCCCCTGACTAAGACTGTCATCCTGACAGTCCTTTAGACGTACTCACTCCCCGAGTCAAGGGAGTTAGTAGATTCCATATCCCATTCATAGTCCTTGTTTTGTTCCCAAGCAGACATGCCCCGTTCTTCTAAGAGGAAGCTGGGGTTGGTCTGAGTCATTAGAGGAGACATGGAGTGCTCGTCTTTGAAGACGTCTTCATCTGTGTCCGATGAATAAAAGCCCTGCTCATCAAAGGATAATGGATCGGTATGATTCCTGCTGGGGATTGGAAAGAAAATTGAGCTCTTGGTTGAAGAGCCAGGAGATGATATGGTTATACATCCCCCTTCATTTTCCAAGTGTCGCAAATCGTGATCCCATATGTGGTCTTCCTTGTTCTCATATTCCTTGACAAGTTCTTCGGCATTGGCGAGATTGCTCCTCTTGACCCAGGTGGCTTCCTCCACTGGGTATCCCTTCCATTTGACCAAATATTCTGTTATGGTCCTCCGGCTGTGTCCTTGACCGACGACGCAGTCACAGTCCTGAAGTAGTTCCTCTACTTCATATTCTTCTTTGTCTTCCACAAGTTCCAGCTTGGGTGGTGGAGGTTTTTCCTGGTTGGAAAACTCCGGGGGGACGTATGGAGTTAGGTATCGTTTGTTGAACTTGTTGTGGATCCTCCATCTTGGCGGTAGCTTTAGCTTGTATGCAGAGGGCCCCTTTTTGGAAACTACTTCAAAGGGGCCGACATGTTTGTCACCTAGCTTTTTTGTTGGTTGGGGGAGGTGAAGGTTGGTTGAGTCCAACCAGACTTTATCTCCCGGT